GTTGCCTCCCGCACATGCCCTGACCAGGGCCAGGGATCGAGCCTGCAACTGAGATACATGCCCTTGGCTGGAATCGAACCTGGGACTCTTCAGTCTGCAGGCTGAGGCTCTAACCACTGAGCAAATCTGCTAGGGTGTTATTCCCCTTTTTATAGCAGCTCCATTGAGATATAATTCATATGCTGTAAAATTTACCTTTCTATTGTCTTTTATGGAGGTTTTATGTATTTAAAGGTTGTCCAACAGTTATAAGACTGCTGTTCAGTTAGCCTTCAGATGGTTATTCAGGTCGATTTTTCTGTACTTTAGCTGCAGCTCTGATATGGTGCTGGGAGGCGGCAAGTGTCAACTTCCAGCTACTTCGCCGCCGTCTTGCTATCTCACCACTGTCTAAATTCATAACATTTTCATCACCCCAAGAAAGAAACTGCATGTCCATTAGCATCACTCCTATTTCCACCCCCCTCCCATCCCCTGTCAACCACTCACCTGCTTTGTTTCTATGGATTTTCCTGTTCTTGACATTTCATATAAATAGAATCGTGTAACGTGGCCTTTTGTGTCTGGCTTGTTTCGCTTAGCGTAGTGTTTTCAAGGTTCATCCGTGTCGTGTTGCGTTTCAGTATACTTCACATTCCTCTCTAGGTTAAATAATATCTCATTCTGTGGGTAGACATTTTGTTTATTTGCTCATCAGTTGATGGGTATTTGGGTTGTTTCTGCTCTTAGCTATTACGAACATTCCTTCTGTAAACATTCATGTGGAAGCCTTTGTGTGCACATATGGCTTTAGTTCCCTTGAGTACACACCAAGAAGTGGAACTGCTGGATCACATGGTAATCTGCGTTTAATATTTTAAGGACCAAGCTGAGTGTGCCACTTTCCATCTCCAGCAATGTGTGTTCCAGTTTCCCTGCATCCTCAAGCACTTGTTACTGTTTGTCTTTTTTGTTATAGCCACCCTAGTGCGTATGAAGTGGTATCTCATTGGGATTAGGATTTGCATTTTCCTAAAAACTGATGATATTGAGCATCTTTTCATGTGCTTATTAGCTATTCATATACCTCCTTTAAAGAAGTGTCTAATCAAGTCCTTTACCCATTTTAAATTGGGTTTTCTTTTTGACTTTTGAATAGAGGAGTTACATGTTTGGCCTACTTGCATACAAGGTATACAAGTCCTTTATTAAGGACTTCCAAGCATTTTCTCCCATTGTGTAGGTTGTCTTCATTTTCTTTGACAGTGTCCTTTGAAGCGCAAAGGTTTAATTTTTATAGCATCTCACATATTTAATTTTTTTCCCTGTTGTTTGTGGTTTTGGTTTCATAGCTAAAAAGCAGCGCCTAATCCAAAGCCATGAAGACTTAACTCCTATGTTTTCTTCCAAGAGTTTTATAGTTCATGCTTTTACTTCTATGTCTGTGATCCATTAGAGTTAACTTTTGTGCACAGAGTGATATAAGGAATTCAACTTCATTCTAATGTATGTGGATATCCCGTTTTCCCCATGCCATTTGTTATAAACGCTATAATTTACCTGTTGAATTGTCTTGGCATCCTTGTCAAAAATCAATTGAGCATAATTGTAAAGGTTTATTTCTGAATTTTAAACTCTATTCCATTGATCTGTATATCTGTCATTATGCTAGTACAGTGCAATATTAACTGTAGCTTTGCAGTAAATTTCAAAATTAGGATGAGTCCTTCAACTTTGTTCTTTTTTTTCCAATATTGCATTTTTTATTCTTGATCTCTTGCATTTCCATATGAGTTTTAGAATCAGCTTGGCAATGTCTGTTTAAAAGAAATGGGCATCTGGGATTTTGTTAGGGGTTACACTGAATCTGTAAGTCTGAGGAGTATTTCCATCTGAACAATATTAAGTCTTTAGATCCATGAATGTTAGATGATTTTTCCATTTAAGTCATCTTTAATTTTTTCAATGCTATTTCATAATTTGTAGTGTACATACCATATGCATCTTTTGTTAAATTTATTCCTATTCATTCTTTTTGTAATTATAGTGTATTTGTCATTGGAATTTATTATATGTGGATTTTTTTCCCCTTAGTGTTGTTTCAGATTGCACATTGCAAATGTATAGGGATACAACTGATTTTTGTACATTGATCTTATCTCTTGCAGCCTTAGCTATACTTGATATTGGCTCTTACAGTTTTTTTGTATGTGGATTTCCCACCTCCCTTTCTAACTCAATCTGCAGTTACTGATTCTAGAGAACTTATAAAGTACTGTGACTGAAAAGGAAACTTGCTTCATTTTCCAGGAATTGTGGCTGTGGGGTGCATCAATGACGCTATTGACGAAGGGGATCCTTTAAAGACACTAGAAAGTCTGCAGTTACCTACAGCTAAGATTAAAAATGTGGACCCAGACTATGCCCAGCACTACCAGGATGTTTTATACCATGCGAAATCACAGAAACTGATGGTAAGTCTCAGTAAGTTTGGTTTTTTTACATTTATAGATGGGGTGAGGGAAAAAGCAGAAGGGAGGATTTTTGTTTTTTACACCCAGTTTTTCCTAAAGCTTATGAGCCTCTTGTTCCAGCAACTGCCTGTGAGTCAGGACGGAACTAATAAGGCTGTCATTTTCCTGGTGTTAAGGGGAAGCCGGCTCCACAGCTGATTACTGCTTCCACTCTTTCACTAAAAATTCAGTTGTGAGGGAGTTTTTGTTCAGAGTCCAAGTCATTGGATATTTTCTGAGCATATACTGTGTGCGCAGTGCGGTATGTAGCATCTGGAAAGGGGAAGGGGGACCCAAGGAACACTGTCCTGATCTTCATGCTTAAAAATGTATTGAGGCAATAGGCATTCTCTTACACAGTAGTTAAATAATAGTAGAGATAGGTAAGTGGCAAAGTGTCAAAAGGGGGAGTGCACCAGTGATTCGGAGATGGTTGGGATTGTTGCAGATTAGAATCCTGAGAACAGTGGGAGCTGAGCCTGAGAGGTAAGGAAGAGTTGGTTCAGTGGGTAGAAAGCAAGACGATGTCGGCAGGGACCAGCATGGTTTTTTCTGGGCATAGGAGGGACTGACCTGGCCAGTGTCCCATAAAAAACAGAGGGTTTTTTCTGGCTGGGGAGCTTGTACTGATATTATGAGGAGTCCAGCAGGTACTGGCCACTATTAGAAGGGCACTGGGCTGAATGATGAGCCTTGTATGACCTGTCACCTGAGAAAGGGAGTGATGCTACCTGGGACCTAGCCACTCAGAGCTTTCATGTCCCCAGGTGCTAGCCAAAGCCAAGAGGTGAGCGTGTCCGCTATATGGGTCCTTAGAACCCAGGAACCACCTCATCTGAGACAGGAAACATCATTGGTTAGAGCAGACATATTGATTAGCTGGTATATTCTCACATAATCCTCATAACAGCTCCATGAACTATCATTAGCATCTTACAGATAATGAAGCTAAGACCAAGTTATCCAGAGTAGTTATTTCTGAAACTATGCCCCATCTGTGTGACACAGAAACATATAATTGTGCATTAAGGCAGATGGGAAAGTATGTTTATTGCAGCACTGTTTGTAAAAGCAGAGGACCAAAAACTACTGAGCATCCAGCAGGAGGGGCTGGTTAAGTTGCAGTGCATCTTACGGTGAAATACATCCAACAGATGTATCACACATGGGATGTAAACCCACGTATATGTATGCTTATGTGTGCATAAAATATTTCTGAAAGAAGGTGCCATCTGGAGGGTAAACTAGATAGGTGTGAGACTTCTTTTTTCTCTGTTTTTGTACCATTTGGATTTTTAAAGTTTTTACAGGGTGCGTATATTAATGTTTCTAAATTTGACTTTGCCAAAAATTAGCTAGGGATTTTAGTCAAGACACTAAAATTCTGCAGGCTTCAGTTTATGCATGTGTAAAATGAGAATAATAGTACCTATCTTGCAGGATTATAAGATAATGCCCTGACCACAGCCACATGGGGTTTGTCCTTGAGGTGAGCCTGATTCCACAAGCATTTCATAGGCAGGCAGCGGAGGCCCCTCCAGAGCATTCCCTTGTAAGGGTTCTAGATCATGACGGAACTCCGCAGCACCTCCCCAGGGCACCCAGGGCCTCCCCTGAGCGATCACGAGGTGCCAGCGCTATGTTGCGCCCCTTCCTCAGTAAAAGCAGTAACTAGAGCATTAAATATGAGCCTAGGGAACCAGGTTCTAGCTCAGGCATTAAAGTGCTTCTGGCCCTTAAAATTAGGGGCTTGAACTCTATTGGCAACAGCTAACAGATTTAAAACAATTACAAGCAGTGAATTTGATTTGGTTAAATTCCTATTTTTAAAGTTTTCTTTCTCTGCCAATTAGTTTTGAAACTTTCTTTTCTCAACCTTATCTCTTTCCCTGGGGGAGCGAGGAGGAACTGGTTCTGTTCATTTGGTGGGGTCTCTGTATTTCTTTTTTAACCTCTGCTGTTTTGATAGCTAGAATTTTCCAGTTGTGTTTTATGGTGGTATTTCTGTGCCTTGCCTTCCCAAGGTCCAACCGTGGAAAATAATAGAGGAAAATTATAGTACTGGTAATGTCAGTATAAAATAAAGCTTGTAAAGTATACAGTGTTAAAGGTGTCTGTGATAGCATCTTCAAAGAATGGCTGCTGGGTTTTATCAAAGATTGAGGACAGGGATGTAAATTAGTGAGGATTCTTAGCTCTTGTTAATAGTATTTCAAGTATAACCTTGTGTAGGCGCCAAATTCCTTTTGTCTCTGGGGAAAGTCTGGGTAATGGGCATGTTGGCATACACTTAGCAGAGAACACACTTTGTTCACTGGAGGCAGTGAATTTTGAGATTTTTAAATTGAAGGTTTTGCTTGAGAACATATGAATTATACCCTCCACCAAAAATTCTGTTTTGCTCCGTGTAATTTACTGCGTAAAAGTTAAGTGTGCTTTTAACGAGTGAATGCTGTTGCATGTTTGCATAAAACTGTATTACAGTTGATGGCTTTATTTGCAAAAACCAGTTCTCTCCGTTTAGGTTTTTGTCATCTTGAAACTTATTTTAGATTTGTTTTTCTTGCTTGCTTTATAGTATTTACCTGATTTTTATTCTTCACATAACCACACATGTGCTTTAAGGGTTTTCATGGGCCTGTTGTATGTATGTGTTTTTTAACCTATGTCCAATGAAATAGGAAACTGCACATTCAAAAATATGCATTTAAGTGTTTTTATTGTTTTGATGATCACTAGAGTATATCAGTCAATGCACATTCTCACAGACTTGAAAATTCATGTTAGCCATCTTTCATGCCCTTAACCACTAACATCCTACCTTCTGTCTAATCCCTAACCTAAGGGCAATATACTCATTTACCTACAGGACGATACTCGGCATTTTTAACAAAATATCATTTTCCCATTAAAAATTATGTAAATTTAAGGAACAAAAATAATGGAGGCATTTTAAACTTCTAAATAACTTTGAGTATATTCATAGCTTAGCTTCCTTTTTTCTTTTTTTTTTACATGTCCAACCAAAAATGATGTTGCCCCATGTCATACCGAATACCTTGCTTTCTCAGTTGAAATGTAATGGACTTTCATGGTGTTGAGATGCTTTGGGATTTTATTCTTTCATTCATTCAGCAACATGATATGTAAAGTGTGAAGCTGGGCCCCACAGACCCTGAAAAAACTTCGGCCTGGAGTTGCTACAAAAGCACCAAGAAGGGACAGAACACACCCCTTCCCTACTATACATGGTGCTTAAGTGTTTATGGGATTGATATTTGTATATAAATGGTGTGTGTGTGTGTGTGTGTGTGTGTGTGTGTGTACCATAATAAAAATACAGTAAAATGTTTTGAAATTTCAGGCTAGAAAAATAAACGTCTAGCTTGAGAATCAGAGAAGAATGGTCCTTTGAGGGCTTCAAGAGATGGAAAGAATTAAGGCAAACATGTTAGAAATAGTTTTCTGGTTAGAGGCAGAGGCAAAAAGCGGAGAAATCACAGCAAAGCAAGAAGCTTGACTAGTTGTCTACATCACAGGCAGGGTTTATTGGGAAGTAAAATTAGAAAGTTAGCCCTGAATGCCAAACTAAAGATTTATAATTTATTCCAAAACAGTGGAGAGTCCATGGAGGTTTTTGAACTGGTTTATTTTATTTTATTTTATTTTATTTTATTTTATTTTATTTTATTTTATATTTTGTATTGGTTTCGAGTATACAGTGGAGTGGTTAGACAATCATATTTTACATAGTGTTCCCCTTGATATTTCAGCTCCCTAACCAGTACCTACATAGTTATCACAATATTATTGACTATATTTCCAGTGCTGTACTTTACATCCCCATGAACAGTCTGTAACCACCAGCTTGTGGTTCTTAGTCCCTTCACCTCTTTCACCCAGTGCCCTAATCCCACCTCCCTTCTGGTAACCACCAATTCTCTCTCTGTATCTATGAGTCTGTTTCAATTTTGTTGATTTATTTTGTTCTTTAGATTCCACATATAAGTGAAATAATATGGTATTTTTTCTCTGACTTCTTTCTCTTGAGTATAATACCCTCTAGATCCATGCTGTCTCAAATGGTAAGATTTCATTCTTTTTTATGGCAAGGAATATTCCATTGTATATATGCGCCACAGCTTTTTTATCCACTCATCTATTGAGGGACACTTGGGTTGCTTTCCTAGCTTGGTTATCGTAAATAACGCTGTAGTGAGCTGGGGGGTTTGAGTGAGGTATTTAAACTGATCTTTGAGGAATAAAAATCTGGCAGTGGCCCTGTGAAGTGGAGGTTAGACTGACGGTGAAGAAAATGGTTGGAAGGCAAAGATGGGACTAAGATCATGGATCCTAGTGAGAAATATTACAGAGATCGAATCAGCTAATCAGGCAGCCACCAGCATGAAAGTGGAAGGAGGCAGAAGAATAAAAAATGGCCAGGCACGAAAAATTAGCTTCTCCCCCTGCTGTGTCGTTGTCCCTTGTCCCATTCTCCTTCAAGTCATCTAGAGTAGAAAGCTCATAGAAGTGGGAAACATGGAGATATAAAGAGCTTGAAGTACCAGCCTGGCAAATGTGTCAGTTGCCATAAAGAGAGTGCTGATCTCTTTTCTCCTGCATCGATGTTCTTAAAATACTGATAGTGTTTTATTTTAAATGCTAGTGCTTTTGTAATGTTTTATTTGGAAGTACTATGTCCTAGGAGCTCCAAAATGGAGCTAAAGAGTAGAGCTGCTTGTACTTACGCGCACGTTATCCCAGGAATGTATTTTTTCACAAATAGCTTTCATTGATCTCTAAGGTGATTTCACTATTGTAAGGTAAGCTGTGGAGTGATCCGTGATTTTTGACATGAGAAAATAAAGGAATGGATCTAAGCAGCTATTCAGACTCCCAAGGCACAGAGCTATGAGATAGACAAAGTACAAGCCGTCGGTGTTGTAGTGGTAGTTGGCTTGGTGAACAATAAGTATAATGTTGCTTGGAGCAAAGCAAATGGTAAAAATCCCAAGAATGAGGAAACTCGCCTTCACATAGCGCAGCCACCTCTGGTCATACGCACTGAGCGTCCGAATGATGGCCACGTAGCAGTAGGTAATGACCGCAAATGGAATTAAGAACCCGAAGAACGCCAAGGAGATGAAGTAGTAGAGTTGGAAGCGAGATGAAGACTCGCATGTGTTGTGGACGTCATGGCAGGTGGTGATGTCCCTGTGGACAAGATAGTACTCCTGCTTCAGGATGAAGAATGGCAGCATGTATAAGAAAACCGTTGCCCACACCAACCCACACGTTACCAAGGCGTAGGTGCGCTTGGGCAGCCCCCGGTAGGTAAAAGGGTGGACGATGGCCAGGTAGCGGCTGATGCTGAGGCAGGCGAGGATCAGAATGGAGCAGTACATGTTGCCATAAAAGATGACCGTGGTGGCCTGGCACATGAGCTCTCCAAATACCCAGTTGTTGCCATTGAGATGGTAAGCTATTTTAAAGGGCAGTGTGGCACAGAAAAGAAAGTCTGCAATGGCCAGGTTGATATAGAAGATGGTCGTACAGCTGGGTCTGGTCCTGAAGCAGAGCATCCACAAGGCCACTGCGTTGGCTGGCACACCTACTGCAAACACCAGGATGTAGGTGGCGGGTATCAGCTTGGTACTTACGGAGCTGCTCAGATACCCCATGGTAGCATTATTCACGTGGAGATTTGAAACGCTTTCTTCAGGACACTTACTTATTATAGTTGTGCTTCCTGTCCAGCCTTCTATGGCAGAAAAGGGGATCTCTTCAAAAGAACTGGGGGGAGCTCCACGAAAGGTCTTAATAGGGAACGTTGGCTCTGCCAAGTTGTCTGCATCGTTTCCCATACCTGTAATTGAAAAGAAGTATTAACGTGATATTTTGCTAAGCCATATCTATGCTTCAGAAGACAATAAAACTGAATGTATTATACTTCACAATTTCTGTAGTTGTAAAATTTAGGAGCATTTTTATTTTTAAAAAATCGGTATAGATCAGGCAATCAAAGGCATATCGTATGCCCCAGCACCATCCTAGCCAACACAGGAGCAAAGAATAGATGACAACTCCTTGCATGTAAGGAATTTATAATATTGTTGCAGGAAGCACAATAGCACATCAGACCATTACAGGCCAATGCCATATTAACCATAAACTGTATAGGCATTCAGACAATAGTTGACAGATTTAGGTGTTTGAGTAAAATGTCAAGGAAAAGATGAATGTAAGCAAAGATAAGTGAGGCTCAAAAAGAGATGGAATTTAATAGAGGGATAAGATTCTGGTAGATGATGAACGGACAGAGGCACAGTGTGGCCTGTCAGGGCATCTAGGAATGTCAGATAAGTTAATTCAACAAATGTTTATTGCCTGTTTTATTGTGTAACGTTTTAAATAAACTCTGTCCCTGTCTTCAACTCTCAAGACGAGTGGAAAAGTTACACAAAAATGCACTGTGTTATGCCAGTAAAGTTCATCTGAGAGATGAAGTTGAAAAATTAGGTTACAGCCAAATCTCTGGAGGGCCCTTAAACTGTCCTAAGGAGTCATGTGCCCATTGATGCTGGAATTATACACATAAAAAATTACATACAGAGGGATGACCGCTGTGGGAGACAGCATCGTGGTGCCCCAAAGATTCTACCTGCTAATGCCTAGAGCCTGTGAATGAGCTACCTCACATGGCAGAAGGGACTTTGCAGATGAGATTAAGGGTCTTGAGATGGGGAGAGTATCCTGGATTGTCCGGGAGCACAGTATAACCAGAAGAGCTTCTGTAATAGGAAGGCAGGAGGGTCAAAGTCAGAGAGAAAGACATTGGAAGACGCTATATTGCTGGCTTTGAAGATGGAAGAAGGAGCCATGAACCAAGGAATGAAAGCAGCTTCTAGAAAAAGATTCTCTAGGGCCTCCAGACTGAACACACCTACTATCACCTTGACTTTAGGACTTGTGACCTCTACAAATATAAGATAATAAATGTTTTCTTTTTAAACCACTAATTTATGGTGATTTGTTATAGCAGCAATAGGAAACTAATATTACCATGATTTGACTTGTGTTTAAGATGACCTTGGTGATAGTGTGGAGAATAGACTGAAAAGATAAGAAATTGGAGGCAAGGGGGGCTGATCTGGAGCCTTTGGTAATCATTTAAACTCAAGATGGTGAGTTACAGAACTAGAGCAATGGCAGTGGAAAGGGGAAGATGAACACATGAGACTGTGATGGAGGCTCAGAGGGACTTGGCATCTACCTGGCTGTGGAGGTGGTGTGGGAAAGGCAGGAGGCAAAAGTGACTTGGACATTTCTATTCTAGATGCCTTGAGAAGGACCATGGTCCAGAGGACAGGGGACAGCACAGGAGGAGTTAAGATCTCAGTTTTGAGTATTCCTGAGTTTGAGTTGCTGCTGGGGTATTAGAGTGTAAAATGTCCCAGGGCAGGTTAGAAGGCATAGGTGTGGAGTCCTATGAGAGGTATGGACTTCTTAGTTTGCGTAGGGGCTGTAGTTTAATTTAGTAGGAGAGGTTGAACAGCCCTAGGGAGAGATGTGAGGGGAGAAAACATCCAAAGGCAGACTTTTTAGGGGAAATTTCAGATTTTAAGGGGAGAGGAGACAAAGGAAGAAAAATCAGAAGATGAAATTGATATGATCTGAGAAATTGGAAATGGGGGGGGAAATGTATAGAGACAGGACTGTATACTATAGGTTTGGCATTGCGTGTCATGTTGGTATTAATAATCCTAATTCTTGAAAGAGCAGTTAAAAAACAAAATAAACCTTGATGCTCAGACCTGTTTCTCATTATATAATTTTTCCATAAATTAATCTTTGACATGTATGGAAAGTAGATTCCCTCAAATTTCTACTTTAAGATGAACTTTTATGCTAAATTTAAACTTCATACTTATCCATTTAAAACGCTGTTCTCTGCCAGCTCCTTTTCCTGTGACCTCTGAATTCCTACGTGTTGAATGCCTGAGGTTAGTGTTTAGTCACCTGATTCCCATTCAAAGCCAGTTTCTCTTCCTGTTTTCACCCCTGGTTCGCCCCAGGTGAAGTTGAAGCCTCCCTCCTAACCCTGAGATTGCACAAACAGAATTCAGTGTGTCGCAAAAAGGGAGAGTTTTGCCTGAACAAACGGGCAGGGAGGTGCTCGGGTGTATTAAGTGGAAGAGAGATTAAAGAAACGAAAGAAAAATCTGGGAAATGGCAGTAGTTTGTGCCTGTGCTGAGAGGTGAACTGTGAGGCACGTTGAGGCATGTGATATGACACGAGTTTAGCCACACAAATCCTGTTGCTCAGTTTTGCTTTTGGAAAATTCTTGTACTTGACATCCCCCAAGTAGAAATGCTTTTCCAGATAAGCACGAAGCTGGAAAACGGTGGCTGAAGAACATGCTGTATGAGTTGTTTCCCTTCAGGATCTGATAAGAGAGCTATTGAAACCACGTGCTTGTCAGTTTTCTGAACATTCCTGTGACTGAGCAGGACATCATGCCAAAAACATGCTGAACACTGACTCCGAAATAGTCCTGATTCTATTTTCTATGAGATTTCCAGCTGATCTGATTCAGCTTGGACAAGTCTTTTATGTGGTTTTCCTTAAGAATAGTACTCACTGTAAAATGTTTTAAATTGATTTTAGAGAGAAGTTGATTTGTTTACTTATTTATGCATTTGTTGGCTGATTCTTACATGTGCCCTGACTGGGGATCGAACCCGAAACCTCGGTGTATCAGGACAACGCTCCAACCGACTGAGCTACCAGTCAAGGCCAAATTTTATTTTTTTATGAAATTCTTTATACAGGTTTCCATTTAGCATAATGATTCTAAAATATTTTCCAACCCTCAAAAAGGCCTTAAGGAGGCCCTGGTCAGAAGGGAGCGGGCTTGAGCCACGTCACACTTCTCCGCACCCTGTGGAAGAAAGCAGAGTCGCTGCCTTCCACTTGTCACCTTGGGATTCTTCCCCCCTTTTGCCTCCTCTGAACCCCACCAACAACTTGAAGGAACCACCTCCACACGCCACATTTTCTTACTATTCCTCTGCATTTTGGCTCATCCATTCTCAGAAATAGCATTCACTGAATCCTGTTCATAAGTCCCATGTGTGCTACCGTCCCCTGGTTCTCTTAGCGCTCTCCTACAGCCTCCTCAGTGATTCCCCTGTGAATTTTAGCAGAGACTTAGAGGTTTTTGTTTAATTTTGGTTTTTCCCCTCCTTGTTCCTCTGCCCGGCTCTCCCACTCCTAACAATGTTGACTGGAGCGTGACCTAATGGTAGGACTTTAGATGCAGATCTGTCCCAAACTGGTTAACTTTGGAGCAAGCAGGAAGCTGCAGACTAACGCTGTGTTGAGTGAACTAGGAAAACATTAAGAGTTGAATAATAGTATTTGGGAGATTTCATTTCTAAAATTTAAAAGTCATAGATGAGGGTAGGGAGAACTAACTCCCTGGTACCATTGAAAGTCAAAAAGATATTTTATTAAGAAACACTAATTTATTAGCATTGTTGATTATCGAAAGCAGACCACTCGGTCTCTGTGAGAATGCTCGTTTCCCCCTTATGCCCCACAGAAGACAGAAACAGAGGATTTTAAAATCTTTTTTAAAAGTGCTATCTTTGCCCAGCCGGGCGTGGCTCAGCGGTTGAGCATCGACCTAGGATCCAGGCGATCAGGGTTCGACTCCCGGTCAGGGCACATGCCCGGGTTGCGGGCTAGGCAGCCAATCAGTGACTCTCTCATCATTGATGTTTCTATCTCTCTCTCTCCCCCTCCTTTGCTCTCTTTGAAATCAATAAAGATATCTTTAAAAAAAATAAAAAGTGCTATCTTTGCTGAATCAGAGGAAATGCTCAGAAAATCAAAAACCTCTCGCAAAGAAAATGGACTCTTGAATTAACTGTAGAGATCTAAAATCTTGATGATGCCACACATTTTTTAACAGAAGTAGAGAACACTTAAGTCTTTGACAGGGTTTGAACAGAGTGAACGAACTGTAACTGTTCATTTCCATCATGCCGCCTTTTAACAACCACGGTCAAACTCTGTCTTTTGGGGTGCAGTTTGTGTGAAACAAAAAGAAAAGTAGATTCAGTTGACTCTCATAACACGAACCCGCACCCCCATCGGACCCCATAAGGAAAGAGCTTACCGCTTTGACAAAAAGTGGGCGACAGAAGCATGGCTCCAGCAGCTGCAAGGATGAGGGCTTTCATTTTGATGACCCGCATCCAATTTCCCAAACGTCATCACATAGATAAAACTAGGGAGCACGGCTTCGCCCCAGGCCCGCGCGCTGGCAGCAGCCGGGAGCCTGTCCTCTCTGTAGAGCTGTGTGTGCCCTGCGAGCAGGAAGCTCGCCCAGGCCTCTCCGGGAAGAGGTGTGACAGCACTCACCCCGCAGTGTGCATGACTCAGACGAGCCTCTGAGCCTCTGCGTGATCCCCGGGAGAGTCACTTAACTCCTTCCCACCCCAGTAGTCCTTTCTGGATAGGCGCTGTGAGTGCTCCCACTGCTCGTGTGCGTGGAAAGAACGCAGACGGGGTGCAGTCCTTTACAGAGGCAAGCTGAAGACACATGCTGGCCTGGCCGGCAGCTAGCTTAGGCTCTGTCCCATATCTCACTTTATGCATTTTAGAAATGGGGTTCCTGAGTGCGGTTTCTACTTAATAGTTAGTGACCAGAGATTATCCTTTTCTTTACCCTCCCAGCTATTTCACGTCTGAACTCTTACACTCATCACAGAATTACGAATTACGTAAGTTATGGAAAGCAACATTTTTTATGGAGTTAAAACTGAGTAAGCGCTTGATTACTCTGAAAATTCTTCATCCATGTCACATTGGCCTTAGTGTGTCGTCAGTGCTTGGCCAGAACTTTTGCCATAGTTCATCATATTCTGAGCCATTCAATAGGGTTAAAAAATGGGGGGGGGAGCATGTCAAACAACACTATTTGATTAAACTAAAAACATAATACAGCATGGATGTTGGTGAGCAAGTCTACAATAAGCTTTTTTAAAAATTGTGGTAAAGTATACATAACATAAAGTTTACCATCTTGACCGTTATTTAAGTGTTAACACATTAACACAGCTCAGTAGTGTGAAGTATATTCACATTGCTGTGTAACATACAAGCTTTTATGAGTAGTTATATTCTGGAGAATGTGATTTAATATGTAGAAAAAATACTGCCTTATAACAGATTTTCCTATAATTAACAAAACTTAAGGTTAAATGCTAAGCCAGACAACCCAACAGCCTGTTGCCTATGAAATGCAGCAAGAATCAGAAAATACAAATTTCACATGAGACTTAATTAAAGGCTTGAGGGATAAGCTAGGAAGGAACTGATCTGTGCAAACTTTTCACATCTTGATTAAATTTCACCACACCAAGTTTTTATAATCAAAAGTCAGCCTTGCCCCTGCTGGTTTGGCTCAGTGGTTAGAGCGTGGGCCTGCGGACTAAAGCGTCCTGGGCTGGATTCCGGCGAGGGCACATACCTTAGTTGCAGGCTTGATGCCTGGCCCTGGTCTGGGTGCTTTTGGGAGGAAGCCAGTCGATGTGTATCTCTCACATTGATGTTTCTCTCTCTCTGCCCACCTCCCTGCCTTCCATGGAAAAATATCCTCAGGTGAGAACAGACAAACAAAATGAAAGGTCAGTCTTTAGTACTTCAACTACACAGCATATGATAACACACACTGAAATAGAATGCTATTTTATTGTAGAAATAATAACCAAAAAAACACAAAATATTGGAGAGTACTTTTTTGTTTAAAATTTTCTAGGAGTCACCTAACTTCAGGAATTTATGACTTGATTTGCAGATGGTCTAGTTTCTGTTCCCTTAATCCATTTGTAACTCATATGTTGAACCTGGCTGTTTAGCTGGAGGTAGAACCGTGACCATCCTGTAAATAAAATATTTCCAGTCTTCTAGAGAGCAATTGAAAAGGGGATGTTACATTGGTGGGGTTTGGTTTTTACTTCTGGTTTTCCTTTTAACTCTAGCAGCCTTTATTTCAAAGAATCATGATTTAAACTGTTGACTTGAATTCCTTTTATTTGCAAACTCTCTTCTGGTTAGCTTTTAAAACAAATAGTATCATCTTTGACGTGGGATGATAGCATGACCTTTGACATGTAACTTCCTTTTCATCTGGTTAAAAGTTTGTGTGGTGTGTCTGTTACAGTGATAAGTGTGGAGGAATTTGGTAAATACCCACAAAAAAACTGAGAGCTTCATTTTTAGTTATGCCTTGTGGGTGCAAGTTCTCTTTGGTCTTAGGAAAAAAAAAAAAGTTCTCATTCCCCTATTTGTCCCTCCTCTAGCCTTCAACTTACCATCTTAATTCCTGTTTGAATCTTCCCCATTCTTCCTGCCAAGAAATGGAGTCTTACTCAGGGCCGATGGTTCCCATATGGCTGATCTAGCTAGAGATGATTGGAGAGGCAGGCGCCAAGCCTTCCACAGTGGGCTCCCTTGCCCGGATGTTGCAGGATTGAAATAGAAGAGTTTGTTGCATTCTCAGAGCCCTGTCCACATCCACAATCTGTGTTAGTGTCAGGGAAGCAGATCGAAGGCTGCCAGAGCAGCTGGTGAACATCATTTCTCCCTCCTGCTTCCCGTTTGTCTTGGGTCAAAACTGATGAAGCTGGTTCTCCAGGGCTCCCACGAGCTACCTTCTCTTCATCACAGTTTTGCTTTCGGATTTTAGTGCATGGCACTTATTTCTACATATAGGCAGAGGTTCCCATTTTTTAAAATGGAATGTCTCGTGTTCCACAAAAATACTTAATTTCTGCTGATAAAAACATTTACTTGCAATCTGGGACAAGTTTATGTAAAATGCAGTTCCTGTCTGCAGTCCCTGTTAATTATATACCCCAGTGCTGCATTTGTAGCAAGAGCATAAGATCATCCCAAAGGTAAAAAGATGCTAAAGAGAATTCAGTACCTTTTATTGCTGCTATCACTTCCTTTCTGAAACTATTCTTAACTTAATCTTTTCTCCTCCTGTAACTCAACCCCCCTACTTACTTTAAGTTAATCCCATCTTGGCTCTTTCCAGATTGTGTTTCTACAGCTGATGCCCTAATCACTGTGTATTATAATTATTTTTTTATGTATCTGTCTCTTCTACTAAACTGTTAGCTCCTTGAGGGCAATCACTATGTTTTTGTTTGATTTTTTTTTAATGTTTTTTATTTTTGTCTCTGTATCTGATCAATGTTGGTGTCATTGTGTTTGCCTTGAATTTAAAGTATCCCATGGCGCTCTGGGCCACCTTGGGAACCACAGTTACTGACTGGAGGAGAGAGGATTTGGCAAGGGTAGCCAGAGAAGTCTTTTTTGGAGGAGGAGGTGGCAGTTGAGTTAAGACCCGAATGAAAAGAAAGAATCACAGTCAGGTAGCTGGGACAGAATGTTGTGATCTGAGGGAGGCTGGTTGAAGGTCTGGAACAGGGAATAGAAGAGTGTGAGGTAAAGCCAGATCATTAGATCCCCACGGTCCATGGGAAGGGAGTTTTGTTTTTCCCCAACTTCAGGGGAAAGACTTTGGAAGAGTTTACGCCAAGGAGTGGTGTAAGGAGATGCCCATTTTGAAGAGATTATCTGGTTCTCCGTGGAAGACCACTGTGAAGAGGGCAAACTTGAAAACAACAAAAGCAAATAGGAGACCAGGGCACCTGTTCAGTTGAGAGATGCTGTTGGGCTGGACTAAAGGGGTGGCAGGCGAGAAGGGAGAAGTGGCTGTATTGGGGGTCTGTTTCATTAGTATCTTGTAGAGTGTATGGCAGAACTTGCTAGTTGCTAAATAAGAGCTTGTGGGAATTATTAAAAATGGTTCCTTAAAAGTAGTTATTAATTCTGTTTCATCATCATTCACTGTTCTTTCTTTTATTCTATGACATACCCCAGGACCCTGCTTCTAAAATCCTTTGGCTGGATGAGATTCAGCAAGCCGTCTATGAGGCCAACATGGACAAGGACAAAGCAAAGCAGTGTAAGCCCTCTCCTTCTCTTGCTGTCCCAACTTGCCTTGCTTGTATCTGGTTACACTTCTAATTTTCATTTTTATTCATAATTTTTTAAAAATATGTAATTTTTAATTTCTGAAAAGATTTGGACTCTCCTGTCGATTTGAGTTCTTGAATGCATATTTATACGATAGGATTCGTTGGTTGCACTGTTTTCAATGACAGGGTGTTGTCTCCAGCAAAATCTGAGAATGTGGCCAATTAAAACCCAGAAAGCAAAAAATGGTTTCTAAACTCTCAAATGTATAGCTTAATCAAGTCCTTTTTAGTCTTAATCCTTAGAAAACTAGCCGATTTTGCTTAACAAATATTAAGCAAAATATCCTCTCTTTCATGTTTTTCATAGTTGGGGTTTTTCAGAGAAAAAACTACATAAGTATTTTTCTCTGGGAAAAAACAGAACTACAAAGATAGATAGATGATAGATCTGTTTCTCTGGAAAGTATATATTTTGTATATATACATCTATCTATACTACCCATACATACATGGAGAGAGAAAGAGGGAGATTTATTTTTAGGAATTGTCTCATGCAATTAGGGAGAGGCTGGCAAGTCCAAAATCTGTAGGGAGGCTGGCAGAGGCAGCATTTAATCACCGAAAGACAAGTGGAAGTAATTATTACAATGGACAGCAGAGTCAAAGCAGTCATCAGAGCAGTCTCACTCACAGAAACCTATGGAATTGGCTAATCGAGCATGGTGCTCCTAGAAGTGAAATAGACAGTCTACTAAATTCTTATTTATACAAGCTGAAGAAGAGTTCTAGGTCAAGGGAATAGAAGTATAACTTGAATTGTAGAAACAGAAAGTCGTGGCCGCCTAGTCAATTCCCAGCCTTGAGCCAGTTTACAGACCAGAACCCCTTGAGAAAAGGGAAGGCGGGGTCCCAGTGAAAAAGCACTCTGCTACACTAACACATTTTTATACTGCTCATCTTTCTCCCAGGCTTTCCTCCAAGAGATCTGTGGTCTTTTGGCATGGTGACTGTGCTGGGGGAAAGAACATAATTAGACTTTTCAGGGATTACTGAACCCTGGCTTAGAAGTGATGCTAATTCCCGGAGACCTAAAATGTCACTGTGGTGCAACCAGTCAGAGTAACGGCTTGTGGAGGCCAGGTGATCAGTGGACTTTCAGCTTAGGTACATCTCACAGTGAACCCAGTGGATCCCCAAACCCATCCTGGGATTTTTTTCCCCCAGGTACAGATGCATAATTGGAATAGACACACTCAGCAACTGGCAGAATCCCCACATCGGCTCAAATGAGATTTTTTTTTTTTTTTTTTTTTTTTTATGCTAAGCCTCTGTTTTCATAGAGGAATAGTATGAAAATTCACATGGCAATCTAAAATAGCTTCAAGATAGAGACAACAAGGTGGCGATGTAGGTAACCATGTTCCCGCCGCCTCCCACAACCGTATCAAAATTACAACCAAAATACAGGACAACCATCGCTCAGAGCCTACTGAAACAACTGCACAGAGCCCTACAACAAGAGAACTGAAGAAGCATCAAGACCGGTAGGAGGGGCGGAGATGCGGGCAGATTGGGGCTGAATCAGAGATGAGGTCAGGGACCCACCCCCGGTGCCGTGGTTTAAACCCAGGAGGGACATCTTGGCAGTGGAGGTTTCCTGGAGGAGTGAAGGGTCCCAGCCCCACATCGCTCCCGCAGCCCAGGGCTCCAGGGCCGGGAAGAGAAGTCTCCAAACAAACCTTCAGGCTGTAAAAACCAGCAGGGATTGTGGCTGAGGGTCTTGGAGGCTGCCTGAGTCCCAGGAAGCTCCTCTTAAAGGGCCCATGCACGGACTCACTCAGATGCGCTCCCTTTGAGCCCCAGCCCTGGGCAGCAGCTTGAAAGGAACCTGGGACATTTAGGGAGAAACTAACCTGCCTGGAATCAGGGCGAGAGGTGGAGGGCCAGCTTTCTCCCAGACAAAAGGGCTGGCAGAGGCTATGGCTCGTTTTTACAAGCCCTTCTGGCACAGAACTGGCAGGCTGGTGCCTTCTCTGAATGTCCTGCACCCGACTCACACTTTTCGCCCCACCCTGGTGATTCCCGGAGGCCCCACCCCTCCCTGCTTGCAAACTCATCCAAGCCATTTCCAGTGGCTTCTCTATGCAAGTGGCCTTTCCAGCCTCATGTTTAGGAATTTCCTAAAATCTCTCAAACAAGCAGCAGCTAGCCTCAGCATGCCCCATACCTCTCAGTAAGTGGCCCCAGGCTTGGGACTAGCAGCAGCCTGCATTGGTTCATAGCTTGGCCTCTCCTGGACACCTCCAAGCCCAGCACAGGTAGTAGCCATTTACTGTTTGCTGTGTAGTTCAAGCTGGGTGGCCCTGGGCAGGGCACACACAGGGACTGACTTTTCACATCCCAGGAGGCCCCAGAGGGAGTCCACCCGGTGGTCAGCTTCAACCATGCTAGATTACAACCCTACCATATCCACGAGTGACACACTCAAGGGGCGGACTCAGTGAACACCAAAGCCCCACTGAAGTAAATCCTGCTCCATAGGGGTATCTCCAGCACAGCAGCTCTTTGGCTATAGCTGACCCTCTGCCTATTGGCCTGGGGGTCAGTTCCTCCCAGTGATGCCAGTAGGAACCAAAGCTCAACTACAGCAGGACAGTGCACACAGCCCACACAGGGGATCACCTAGAAGGCCCAGCTCAGGTGACTGGGGAGACCTGAGCCACTGGACCCTGCAGGACACTTACTACACAAAGCCACTCTACAAATTCCAGGAGACATAGCAGCTCTACCTAATACATAGACACAAACACCAGGAAGCAGCCAAAATGCAGAGTCAAAGAAACATGTCACAAAGGAAAGAACAGAAGAAATCTCTAGAAAAGGAACTAAGTGAAATAGAGCCAAGCAAGGTACTAGATACAGAGTTCAAAATAATAGTTATAAGGATGCTCAAGGATCTTAGTAAAATTATCAAGGAAACTAGTGATGACGTATTGGCAATGACGTAATAAAGTACCAGTCAAAAATGAAGGCTACAGGAATTGAAATGAAGAATAATTTACAGGGAATCAACAGTAGAGTAGAGGACACTGAGAATCAAATCAGCAATTTGGAACATGAGGAAGCCAAAAACACCCAACCAGAAGAGCAAAAAGAAAAAAGAATCCAGAAATATGAAGATAGTATAAGGAGTCTCTGGGGCAACGTCAAGCGGCCCAACATTTGCATTATGGGGGTGTCAGAAAGAGAAGAAAGAGAGCAAGAAGTTGAAAACCTATTTGAAAAAATAATTACAGAAAATTTCCCTTACCTGGTGAAAGAAATAGACTTAAAGTCCAGGAAGCACAGAGAGTCCCAAACAAGATGAACCCAAAGAGGCCCACAGCAAGACACATCATAATTAAAATGGCAAAGGTTAAAGACAAAGAGAGAATCTTAAAAGCAGCAAGAGAAAAGCAATTACTTACCTACATGGAAGCCCCATATAACTGGAAGCTGATATCTCAACAGAAACCTTGCAGGCCAGAAGGGAGTGGCAGGAAATATTCAAAGTGATGAAAAGCAAGAACCTACAACCAAGATGACTCTACCCAGTAAAGCTATCATTTAGAACTGAAGGTCAGATAAAGAGCTTCACAGATAAGAAAAAACTAAAGTTCATTACCACCAAACCAGTATTATATGAAATGTTGAAGGATCTTCTTTAATAAAGAACTAATGAACAAAAGAATCTGACAAAATAGACCCAGAGATATTGGCGCATGCAATGGACAGTCGTATCTCAGAGAGAAGAGGGAAGGGGGTGGGAGGTGGGAAGAGATTAACCAAAGAAGTTATATGTGTATGTGCATAATCCATGGACACAGACAATAATGGGGTGAAGGCCTGGGGAAGGGGTGGAATTGAGGTGAAGGAGGTCGGGGTGGGGAATGGGATACCTGTAATACTTTCAACAATAAAGATAAACTTAAAAAAATAAAAGTATAAATAAATAAATTTTTAAAATAGCTTTAAGATTGATATACTATCTCTTTACATATATGAATAACCTACATAAATTAAAATAAGATTCCTAAGTCTAGTTCATTAATGAGCTGTTCATTCATGAGATAACTAGAATTTCTCCTATCAGGTCATAGATTTCTATTGAGGTACCTTACTTTTGCTCTAGAGATATGCTTTTAAGCTTTGGAAGAAACTGCAAGGAACATCTGGTTTTTATTTCCTTAGCCAGGAAAAATATGTGTATTTCTCCAACCTGAACTTTTATACCCTTAGGATCTTTGAAATCTTTTCATTCTGGCACTCTGATCCTTAAGAAAAAGAAAATGAAATTGAGATGTGATTTAAATTTAAATATAAAACTGAAGACAATGTAGTTTGAAGAAAGCCTTTCAAGAAGTTAGATTATAATACAGGCACCCAAGTAGCCTAAAAGGGTTACATTTTTCTCTTTTATTCCTTTTATTCTGTGTTCTTACATTTGGCCTGCAAATGTTGGTCTGTTTTTACATGAGACTCATGGATCTATATATTGACTATGAAAGTAGGAGGTTTCCTCAGTGTGTGATTTTGTACTCTGCACGTGCATTTAAAATCCTACCTCCTACCTCTGTCCCATCCCCCAGAAGAGTTGATAAAGTTTCTTCTATGCTGTATAAGAACAAAGAGATGTTCTGAAGATAAAACTGATGTATGTTTTGACACTGAGATGAGAATTTTCATTTCTTAACAGGAATTTAATCTCACCTTTAAAAGCATTTTTTATCCTTTGCATGAAGACTTAGAACAGATTCTGGTCACATGTCGTAAGCATAAATCCCACTCCCAGATAATTTGATCAAAGAAAATGTGTTGGCTCATGTATTTTACCACAGGCAAGACTTAAAAGGGCAGAGAAACTCAAGTCTCCTTCATTTTGGCCCAGTGTTCATTTTCAGTGAAGCATCTGCTTTCTTAAAGTAGGTTTGTCTCTACTTTTGACTCCTTAGAGCAGTGTTTCTCAGCCTTTTCCATTGCACATTAAGCAGTCTTCCTAAAAATTGTTTTCTGTAATTGGTCCTCATGTGGATCTTTTTTTCTCACCATGAAACTTTAATACTACAGACATATTGTATATGTTTATATATCATATGTAAACCTGTGCTTTATACATTAAAAGATTTTTTTACCCCCTTCCTCAAAAAAACAATTTTTGTCCCGCTGGGGGTTATATCACATCTCTTTCGAGAATACATGTCTTAGAGAGAGCCTGCTGGTATGTGGTTTAAGATGTAGAGCAAACATGTTTTTGGATTTCTTAGATGATTTATAGGAAGTTTAATTGTTTTGTAGCAGAAATATACCCAACTTAATGGAGATCTTTTACCTGACATCCTCAGCTGTCTAGAACTTAACCACAACCCACAGATTAAGCCAAAAGGCAATCAAAATAGATGTCAAGAAGCCTGTGCACTGGAACTGATGTACTCGACTCCATGGGGACCTCTTGGACGAACACTTTCAGCCTGTTCTTATCTCAGGCATAATGCTAATATGTTCAGTTGTTTTCTCTTCCCAACTCAGAGCACATCAAAAACCATGAATTAATTACCAAGCAGTTAAGTGTTCAGGATTCCCTCTGTGGGCACACATACAACACCTTGAAGTGATAGCTGACAGCGACACTAAAGGGAAAAACTAGAAAACATGGGGATTTGAGGCCATTTAGTGCAGGAGCAAAGAAGCCCAAATACCTCCATAGTCCTTGCAAGTATCACTCACCATACGATAGTACAGTACAACTTTGATGACTTGAGGGACTCTTCTGATAGCTCCCAGCAAACATTAAGCACCTTTTGTGAACCAGGGACTGTGGGTGAAATGATGAGCAGGGTAGAGACTGTTCTATTAAGGTTTTCTCCAGGGATTAGATTTTCATAGGAAATGGTTCTGATGAGAAGAAAGCTTCAGTTAGCTGGAGAGTTAACCTGTGGACCCACTCCTTGAACATAAACACTCAAAGCACATTACTATATACAAGGAATGTATGGCTTTAATACTCGTCTTTCAAAGAAAATGGCATTTTGCTGGGTTGGATGAAGCTATCAGATGTAATTCGTGTACAGATTCTTCGTCATTGACTTGTTCTTTCTGCTTCTCTCAGACCACAAACTTCTCAAACACCAGCACTGCATTTTTCTCATCCTACAAAGACTTCCTAGAGGAGAGGAGAGGGGACAGTGCACCCATTCCTGTTAACTACAGCACAGGAACATCCTGCTCTACCGTTTGTTCGGCAGGAGTTGGAGTTTGCCACAGAAGTTCTCCCCTCTTCTTCCCACGCTCCTCCAGATTTGTATGTCTTTGACTGCAGGCTGCTGAAAGTTGACTCTGTTTTTCCTGCCCCTCAGCCTTTATGGTTCTGTGCACATGTGGACATAATTTGATAACAACAGCATATACCGTTTAGCATTTGTATGGTAGAGTTTGATGTGTGTGCGTTTTAAAAAAGAAAAAAAATAAAGTATCTCCTCTTCTCATCAAGATCATTTTTCACCTAAAAAGCATTTTAAACTAGTTTCTTCAATTTTTTTGTTCTACATTTCTAACTGCATTTACAGGTTATAAAAAAAAATAGTTCATTTGGTTGAGCCAGAATCTTCTTATCTGGAACTAAAGTGGACAATAAAGAATTGACCTTGTTGCTCTGGCCCGGTAGCTCAGTTGGTTAGAGTGTCGTCCCGATACACCAAGGTTGCCGGTTCAGCCTCTGGTCAGGGCACATACAGAATGCAATCAATAAATGCATCAGCACGTAGAACAGCAAATCAATGTTTCTCTCTCCCTTCTCTCTCTCTCCCCCCTCCCTTCCTCTCTCTCTCTAATCAATAAATTAAAAAAAATTTTTTTTAAAGAATTCACCATGTTAACTTTCTTCAGGCAACCAAGAGTGCAGTGTGGTCTTATTTAGGGGAGAGGCAGAAATTTGAAATAGGATAAAATGCTTTATAGGTCTAAACTGGTTCCAGAATTAAGTTTCTGGACTCCATTGCATATATTCACTAGCTGTGCCTGTTGCCTTTCTAGAACATTTTTTGGTTGCTAATGACAATCTTGGCAGTATACTTGCACCATACAGAGACTGTTAGGATTCCCATAGCTTAAACAGCGTTTTACTTGCTCTAAAATAAATACATGTCTTTGTAAAGCCAGCCTCAAATACTGGTTAATGACCCATGTCTGTTGGTGTGTGTTCACCCAATTTCAAAGATTATCATAGTGAGCAAAATGAGGGCCTTGCCTACCTCACACGAGTAACCAGGAAATACTGTGATTTTTAACAAGCCATGCTCTGTGGGTTCTTTTTTTCTTCTTCTTAATCCTCTCCCAGGACATGTTCATTGATTTTCAGAGAGAGGGGAAGGGAGGAAGAGAAACCTCATCGATTGGTTGCCTCCCACACAGGGAGTGAACCCGAAACCCTGATGGGGAATCAAGCCCGGGCCGACGCTCCAGCCACCTGAACCACTCCGGTCAGGCCTGTGGGGTCCAATTCTTACAGCCTAAACTGGTGGGGGAGTTGGTGACTCGGGCGTCTGTGGTTGTATTCTTAGGGTAATAAGGTTTGATAGCAGTGCGTTCCTCAGAGGTCGAATGATATCTTTTACATTCCTCCAGGGTAGATAGAAGGTAACCATTAACGGAAACATTTTTTTGTTATTATCCAGGGGTTACACTGGTCGTTGATGTTAATCAGTGTTTGGAGAAAGAAAAGACAAGTGATATTTTGTCTGTCTTGAAGTCTTCCGTTAATAATGTAAATGATGTCATCCCCGAATGTGCTGACAAGTACTATGATGCCCTTGCGAAGGCAAAGGAGGAAAAATCTAGACGTGGTAAGTATTTTTGTCTTTTAGCACAAACTAAATATGATAGTTTGAATATGATAGTTTCTGTGGTATTGTAGCTTCTTAATTTTAAGACAAATATTGCTTAAATTAACATTTCTAAAACGATTTTTATCATCTACGACAAAGGAAATCATTTAGATTTTTTTGTGTGTGTTTTAGAAAACTTGGTGTGTGCGCCTGGCAGCATCATAGACTCAAGAAAATACAATATTAAGGACACTTTATATAGGTCTTGCTTCTTGATCCATTCTTCCAGATAGAAACCGATTTTTACATTACTATTTCTCTCTCTCCTTTTTGAAACAAATGATACATGATTGTACAATATTTAGTAGGGATAAAGAGTAATTTTGAAAATATGGAATAAAGTGCAGTGAATTGGTCTCTAAGGGATAGATCAGTACATGCCTCTTCAGTCCAGCGGCACATCATGCAGTATTAGCTCTGGAAAGTATCTTGGAGAGCATGAGTTTGATAATCATTTTTTCATGGGAACTCATACTCATGATGTTTTAGACAGAAGAAGAAAATGACAAACCCAAGGTGATAAATTTCTGACGGAGCTAATCTGCCATTTCTTCAGTGGATTTTTGTTGAGCGCCTTCTGTGTCCTCATGACCAGGGTCCCGGTGTCTCCTGACTCCGAGGCTGGTGTTTATTGGCACCACAGTGTAGGTCATAGGTCATGTCCATAGTGCTTCTCACCTTTAGAAAACCGCTGTGACAGTATATGGCCTTAGAAGTGGAACTTGAGGAAAAACATGTTTTTAGTTCAACTGGAAGTGTTCAGTAGTACCCTGTGTATTTATTTTTAAACGTTTGATGTATTTCCAACGTGGAGATGTCATCCTTCAGTTCAGCAAATTTCCTGTTAATGAAATGTGAGGGCTATTGGCCACTCTTGTGACATCTAGTCACTTTCGAGCCCCTCTCTCCTTTTCACATCTCTTCATCAGGAGTTACTGTAGTGTCCCATGCCTCATCCTTCATGGGAAAGACAATGGTATTAATTAAGTGATTGCTTTCCTAGAGATGACCCATCATCATTTCAAGTCCATCCTGGTCCAAAATTAGTTTATCTTCTCTCCCTTAAACTTGCATGCCCCTTTTCCTGTGTGCTGTGTTTTGGGTGAATGGAGTCAAGATATCCCCCAATACCCAATTCAGAAACCTAGAAGGTAACTTGGATTCATTTCTTATCCAAAAAACGTTTTAAAAGGACAGCTGGGACTTTGTTAGGGATTGTGTTGAATCTGTAGGTCAATCTGAGGAGTATCACCATCTTAACAATACTCACTCTTCTGATCCATGGACATGCAGTATCTTTCCTTTTATTTAGGTCTTCTTTAATTCTTTCAACAGTGCCTTGTAGCTTTAAGTGTATAAGGCTTGCATTTCTTTTGTTAAATTTGTTCCTATATATTTATTTTTGATGCTTTTATTAATGTTTTCTTAATTTCATTTTGGAGCTGCTTATTGCTAATATATAGAAATACAATGATTTTTTTATTGCAACATAATTTACATACTGTAAAATTCATTCTCCTAAGGTGTGCAATTCAGAAGTTTTTAGTGTATTCGAAACTTGTATAGCCAACACCACTAGTTAATTCCAGAATATTTTCATTGCACCAAACAAAACCCACCCCCAGCCCCAGACAACCACTAATCTACTTTTTGTCTATGATTTCACTTGTTCTGGACATTTCATATAAATGGAATCATGCTATGCCTGGTTTCTTTTACTAAGCATAATATTTTCAAAGTTCATTTCATGACTGATACTATTCCATTGTATGGATATGCCACATTGTGTTGATCCATTCATCAATCAATGGAATTTGGATTTCCCCCCCCATTTTTGGCTATTCTGAATAATGCTTCTGTGACCATTTATATAGAAGTTTTTGCATGGGCACATTTTCATACAATTGATTTTTGTATTTTTATCTTGTACAACTTTGCTGAACTCATTTATTCTAATAGTTTTTTAGTGGATTCCTTGGGCCACCACCTGTTTTTGCAAATCAAGTTTTATTGGAACCCAGCCACACTCATTAATTTATATATTGTCTACGGCAGCTCTCATGCTGCAGTGGCAGAGTTGAGTAGTTGTATCAGAGACCTATATAACCCACAAAGCTGAAAATATTTACTCTCTGGCCCTTTATAGAAAAAGTTTGCCAACCCCAGATAAAGCTTTGAACATTGTTTTGGGGAGATGAATGGGATGATTCTTGGCTCTTTCATTCCCGGTTCTAGGATATCAGTTCTTTCCCAAACTGAAGTGTCCACCTTTAGGTAGATCACTGACGCTTACAGCTCAGTTTAGCTCTTCTATATAGGTATAATTTTGTCTAGAAGATATTTAGAAAGTATGCCTCCTTTTGGAATGCTTACCACCTCTTAACTAACTGGAGTCTTCTATGGTTTTCTCAAAGGTCCATAATTAATCTCTTAAGCAGCAAACCAGCTACATTTTATAGGAAAAATACTTGGACCCCGGGCTGGAGACATCCTCCTCAGCCTCTCCTCTGACTGCAAATTCAAGCTTGATTTGAAAATGATAACAATTCTCTTTTCCTATTATCCACTGATATCATCTCAACCCCAATAAAGCTTTCTAGCACCAACTAAGACATTACTTCTCAGTCCTTACGCAGATAAGGGAAGGTATCTGCCGTTTTCCACTTCCATTTACCTTCTTCCCCTCCCAGTGGAAGACTTGCCTTAAAAATAGCGTTTATTCTTTTGAAAGCATTTGTGACTCTGACAGCTGTTGGTAACTGAAAAAATGATTTCTGTGATCATCATCCTCATTTGACTACAATATATTTTTGAGGACGCCAGCACTCCTAAACAGATAACAGCTGTCTGACTGCCCCTTTGAAAAGAGCTACATCTCTTCTTGGGCATTGACAAAAAGAACAATTGAGAGCCCCTTAAAACCAACTAAAAAATCAATGTATAATAAAGGGCCTTAAAGTTACCTCTGCTTAATTATTTAATTAAGAATCCATTTAAATATTATATGTGAAAATTCACTTGAACTTTGAATACCTTTAAAGGCAATTAGTCTAATGCTCACTTGGCAGCAGTTGGCTTAGCTTGGTCTAGGCCAGCGCTTTGGGGTTTTTTAATCCTTACCTGAGGCTATTTTTTTCCATTGCTTTCAGAGATAGTGGAAGGAGAGAGGAGATAGAAACATCAATGTGAGAGAGACACACATCGATTGGTTGCCTCCTGCTTGAGTGCCAAGCAGGCTGGGGATCGAGTCTGCAACAAGGTGCGTGCCCTTGGCCAGAATTGAAGCCGGGACCCTTTAGTCCGCAGGCTGACACTCCAACCACTGAGCCAAACCAGCTAAGGCTAGATCAGAGCTTTTTAAATTTTATTTTTATTGTTGTTTTTAGCTCTCTGATCTGGGGTAGGAAACTTGACCTGTTCAGTAAAATAAGCAGATTTCTAAATAGGAAGTGTGTTGCCTGTGGATTGGTGAAAAGGAGATATTTTTCTTGACCACTTTAAGCCATGACTGCCATCAATTTTTCCTAGTACATCCTTACCCCCAAATTAGGTCATTTTTCCCCTCATTCTGTGTGGTTGTGTAGAGCAAGGTGAGTCAGAGGAACCAGAATTTCCTTCTCCTTACTTAGTGACCTTAGTGTTTGCAGATGCCATTTTGCATCTTGGATGAAGTCGTAGGAAAAGATGAGTCACTTCCACTTTGGTTTAATGTGGATCATTGGCCCTCCTTAGATAATGGGTGACGGTCCTAGCTGGGCCCTTCTCAGAAAAGTTGCAGGAAGGCTTCCTAAGCCAAGAGGATTATTGCTCATGGGTCTCCTCTGTCTACTGTGGTGCTGTTCACCTTTACCTGGGACATGCATCCCTTGTTTGCTTGTCCCTCTTGTTGGCCGTTTGTGACTCCCATCATCCTCATGAAAAGCTTGGGATCCAAAGCTAGCATTATACATCAGTCTCTCCTCCTTAATCTTTGGTTTAGCAGAGAGCTGCCACTGAACACACAGCATTCATTCTATTTTAGTAAGTCATTTCTAACTGATTTTAACGTAGACTGTCTGAATGCTTGATGAGAAGCATCTTCATTGAGGAAACAACGTTAATGTCGAAGGGTTCAGTTTTTCTCTCTAGAATGTAACATACTTTTTTCTGCAGTGTCTTCTGAAGGTCCTTGGCTCCACCTCACACTGCGGGAGAAATATGATTACTACTACAATGTCAATTCAGAAGAGAGTTCCTGGGTCACACCTGAATCTTGCCTGCCTAAAGAATCATGGCTCATGGAAAAAGAAATTGAGGTAGGCGGTTGGTGTTTGGTGGAAAACTGTACTATATAAAGATAAGTGTGATTGTTTTTCTATTTTTGAATCATGGATGTGATGGGAGGAACTGATTGATTTCTTTGAAGGCTGGATGTGGAGCAAAGTCTTCATGAACTACAGTGGGATGTGGCTGCGTGGTTATTAACTTTTAGAGTTTTTCCCATGGTGGCATAACACCACCAAACAGAGCAGGAGAGAAAGCTTTTCCTTGACACAAAAGCTCAATTAGTGGTAATTCCTTGGTTGTCAATATTCCAGTGTCTATTTCTTTCCCCCTCTCAGGCGACAACACAGATATATAGATCCTTTAAAAAGTGAGTAATGCTTCCCTGAGGGAAATGCTCTTGAAGGAATGTCCACCAAGATTACTTTGGACTTGCTTGAGCCCAAAAGTTGGACCTAAAAGATGTGAAAATTGCTGTTTAATCTAGGCATTGTAGTATATTTAAAGAGAAAATACTGAGAATAATTGAGTTCCATTTTGAAAAAAACACATAAGTAGAATTCACAAATGTAGAGCTTACAGATTTGTTCAAAGTCACAGCACCAAAGAGATTGCAGTATAACAGTTTTGTGGACAGAATCACCGTACTGTGTTTACTAAAACTCAGAGAAAACTGTGACCCAGGACTGACAAGGCCACCAGAAATCCTGACTGACAAGAAGATAGTGAAGAACACAGTTTATTATCTAATTTCAAATGCTCAAAGTCCCCACAGTTTGCAGGAAAACGGCATTGTGGCAATGAATTGCTAGTGCTGTGTTGTTGAAAAAATGAAATTGTGGCCAATATTAAAAACCCATATGCTATAATTGAGAAGATATATCAAAACCATGAAGAAGCAGCATCGAATTGTTAAAATTCAGAGCCTGCAACTGCGCATGTGGCACCCAGAGGTGCCCCGGGTATACCTTTGTGAAACAGCATCAGTCTGTTAGGATTATTAACCTACACTATAAATTTTATTCTCCTAAACAATCAGGAATTACTCATTTTATTCAATGAATGCACATATTTGTCTTCTCTTAAAGGTATTTATGCATCTTTTATATGATTCCACTTTCAAGTTTTTTAAATTAACCGCCCACTGATTTCAGCCACACTGAGTGAGAGGCATTGGCCGTAGAAGTGAGTCCAACCTTTGCTGGCGTCTCTCAGAGAACAAAAGTGCAGCCGCAGTCCATGCGAGGACGTCTCACAGTCCCCCTTCTTTTTTCTCATTCGTCTAGGTTTTCCCTGTCTGCCCGTGATGGGGCTTGTCTTTCCTCCCCCACCCTCTTTCTCTCTACCCCCAGTCTTTTATTTTCTCCCATATTTGAGATTTCCTCAAGACATCTCAGGAGTCTTCCTTCTCTTTCCTGGGCAAGAAAAGCAGCAGAGAAGCCTGAGGACCTCATGGGCGCTGCAGTCTTCCCCTTGGCAGCTCGAGGGAGAGAGGAGATGGTTCATATTCTTGCCGTAATCATCCCTGTCCCTTTATCCTCGTGGAGCTCGGGCCTCATGCCTGGCAAGGGCTCGCATCGTCCGTACCTCTCTGCTCCAGATCCTGCGGCCATACAGCCACGGTCTTTCCGCCGCAGCACAGCGTTGAGAGGATTCCAAGGTCGTGTCGCTAGAAAGCTAAGCCAGTTCATTCCCCGGCTCTGGTCAGATCTGTCTAAAACCAAGCCAGAAGGAGCTGTCCATGTCCTTTTCTGAAACATGCAATGTTCAGAAGCTGTTGTGTGTGCCGCTTTCACCCGATGTGTGAAGTGTAACCATGAGAAATGTCTCTTGCCAGGACATTGTTGAGGAAGTCACGGCAGGTTACATTCGGGAGAAGTTGTGGTCTGCTTCCCCAGAGTTGTGTCTTCGCTTTCAAGCCACAAGCTCAGGACCCCTCCTTAGGGAAGAACACGAAGCTAGGAAATCATTTTTGTATGGACAGGAAGAGCATGTGGTCAAAATACAGGTATGTGACTCACCTACCACCACTAATCGCAGCAAACTGTCATGCCCCATGAGAAATGTTTTATTTGATAATAGGACAGTCAGCTACCAGCATTCTAACAAACAAGTCTAACTACAGATCTTTTCCTTACTCGGTGCCCCTGAGTGTGCTTTATTAAGTAAGGTTCTAAGATGGGAAGGATGTCAGTGATTTTTCACCTGTGGTCTTCCAGAGAGTATTCAGGGGCACTGGATCCCACAGTTCACCTGCCACCAACCTAGTCAGACCAGAGAAAACCTCAGGTCAGATATGAAATTATATTTCTCTAAACAGCTGGATCTCCTTGTGTCACCTACTTTCTGACTCAGGTTCTTTATGAATTGGTTTTTTAGTGGATGTTGAGTGGCATCTGAAAGAACAGAGCTAATGAAATGGATTTAGTATCTCTAAGCGTGTCCTCTCCCTTGTACAATCTGTCACTCTTCATTTATGTCTGCAGGAAAATCCTTAGTCCAACTTTTTTGTTGTGAGTTCTTACGCTTATGTGACTTGTCTGAGCTTCTGGCTGGCGGGAGAGGACCCGGCCAGATCTAGATGCTTCTCCCCGTGTCCCCCTAGCATCCTCTGCCAGCCTCCGGGCTGGCTTCCATCAGCTGTGTGTTTGCATTTGTCCTTTGTGTTGCATCCAAAGTGATACTGTTGTTGATGGACAGAGGCTGGTGCGTTTTTACTTTGGCCAATAACTATGAAATTTCCTAACGTGAAAGTGTTTTAGTTGAATAGCTTCTCTTTTGTGATCTTTGGTGTACTTATCTGCTTCCCCCATCTAACTATAATGTCTTTCAGGACAGAAAACGAGTCTTTAAAACTTTTGTACTCAGTGTCTTGCATATATATGATAGGTGGTCGAATGTGTGAATTTGTCAGAGCTTAAGATGTTAGAAGGCAGAAATGATTAATTGTTTTAAAGAAATTTCTCTTATAAACCTGACACTCAAAAGGATTTTTCTTATTTTTCAATAAGTTTTCCAGTTTGTTCCTTCTTTAAACAAATGGTAGGCAAACCACACAGAAAGTGGACAAAAGCATAAAAATAGGAGCATCTGTACTGATGATAAGGCTCTAATTCTGTACAAAACTCAAAAAGCGTCAGCTGATGCGGCGCACTTTGGACCAACCCTAAGCTCCCGGTCTTGAGGCAGGGAGCAGTGCTGCAGCTGGAAGAGATTCTGAAGAGCCCCCCATATAAAACCATCTGATGTTAGAGCCCGGGCTGGAGGAGAGGGCTGGGGAAGGGCAGAACCACCGCCGGAAGCCCTGTCCCTCCACCTCAGCTGAGGCGGCAGGATGAAGAGGCCGTCGAGTGGGACGCCGCCCTGCCCTGCCTTTCTCCACCCTTCTGACCAGTTTCTAACAAGGAGGGGTGAGTCCGAAGGCACGCCGCAGACTGGAGATGAATATGTAGTCCGGGGAAACCTGCTGACCCGCAGATCCGAAGGGCGTGAACCCAAGGGGGATCATGCTAATCTCGCTTCTTGCCAAAGTGGCTGATTGACCCTGAATTGGGGGAAATGATCTGAAATCTGAAGACTTCCCTCCGTAGAACAGCTCAACATTCCCAGCTGGATGGATCAGCCCAGACCAGTAGTCTGAACAAATTCAGAGAGAAACCCCCTGGCTGAGCACAAGGACACTCCAGCTCCACCACCCTCCCACTCTCTGCTCCCTCCCAAGAAGCTGAATACTGGTACAGGGAATACATGTCATCTGTAGCTAAGCCTTTATCTCAAGTGCTTATGGAACAAACCAGAAGGTGTCCAAGTAAACATGGCAAGTCAAGAAGAATCTAGATAGCCATTTTGGGCTTTTTCTTTCTCTCCTTTTTTTTATTTCAAATAATGGACATCCTTGTTTCGTTCAGATTTTAAAGGGAATGATTCTTTCCTTTCACCGTTAGATATAATACTATAATTTTTATGAGATAATCTTTTTCTAAAGATTAAGGTTAAGAGTATCCATTTATTTTTAGTTTGTTGAATTTCTTTTTAAATTGAAAAAGGAATATGAAATGTATCAAAAATGTTTTACATCTATAAATCTTTGTGCATGCACACATTCAAACACATCAAATGTGCATTATATGTGTGTGTGTGTGTGTGTATAAAAGTACATAGAGCTCAGCTGGGCGTGGCTCAGCAGTTGAGCATGGACCTAGGATCCAGGAGACCGAGGGTCGATGCCCAGCAGGGGGGCATGCAGAAGGCAACCGGTCAATGACGACTCTCATCATTGATGTTTCTCTCTCTCCCTCTCCCTTCCTCTCTCTGAAATGAATAAAGGTATATTTTTTTAAAATAAATAAATAATAAAAGTACATAGAGTTTATATAATACTTTCCTAATGTTTTATGTAAGATTTTTGTTTCCATACTCATTGGTAAGATTCCTTATGATTTTACTCTATTGTGTCTTCTTTTTGTCTCTGTCTTGCAAGATGTTTGTCAATTTTATAGATGTTTTCAAAAAACTAGATCTTTGTTTCATCGATATTCCGTATTTAGCTGTTTTCAGTGTCATCGATTTCTGCTACTGTTTTTATTCTTTTTTTCATCTATTTGCTTTAGGTTTATTTTGCTCCTGTTTTTCTAGTTCTTGAGGGGGAACCGAGATTAGTGATTTGAAATTTTTCCCATTTTCTAATATATACATATTGTTCTGGCTTTTTTTTCTGTTTTCTTTTTCCTGCCTTCCTGTGGGTTACTAAATGTAAGCATATTTTTAATTCCATTCTAATTTAGTTATAATGTTTTTGGGTGAATTTTTTGTGTAGCTTTGTTAGTGGTGGTTGTGTAACTATGATAGATTTTATATGTATGTGTATAATCACAGTCTACGGGGGTTATCATTTGATCAGTGGGAGTGAGTGCAGAAATCGTACCTTCCTTTATGTCCCGTTACTCCTCTCTCCTTCCTCCTGTGTAATAAAATTGTATGTATTTCCTGCATATTTATTTAGAACCACATCACACAATTTTATAATTTTTGCTTCAATAATCAAACATAATGTAGAAAACCCAAGAGGAAAGGGAGAGTCTGTTGTGTTCACCAATGTATTTTCCTTACTGTATATTTTTCTCCCTTCCTGATGTTCTAAAATGCCTTCCTTTATCATTTACTTTGTTTAGAGAACATTCTTTTAACATAAGCCTGCTAGTGACAAATTCTGCTGGATTGTGAGTTGACAGTTTTTTTCCAAGCATTTGAAAAATATTGTGCCACTTCTTACCTCGAAGGTGTCTAATAAGAAATCCACTGTTGTTTGTGTTATTTCTCCCGGATAAGTAAGGTGTCATTTCTCTCTCACTGCAGAGAATCTTGAGAGCAGTGACAGAGAAATAACCATATTATTTTTTATCAGTAAGAAGGCTCTGGTAAAACTGCCTACATTTAAGAATGAATGAACCAGAAAAAAAAAATCACCAAAAAAAATTTTATATCAAAAAAAGAAAAACGAATATACATTGTAAAATATAAATGAAGTAAACATTTAAGGATATTCTTATTCTAGGAGACAGAAGAAATTTTTATACTGATACTGCTTTGTGCTTTCAAAAGATAACTGATAGCTAAAGAGAGGAAGAGAAATAATGGCATCATAGACCATAAGTGAACTTAGAACTGCAGAATGAAGAACTGACCCTGGAGATAATGGAAACACATGGCAAGCTTGAGAGAAATCACATAAAAGCCTGAGGAAAGAATAGGTGATTTAAAATACATTTTCTCACCTGAAAATGGTATCACCCATTTTATTACAGGGCTGTGAAGATTAAATGGGATAATTCCCATAACAGGTTTTGCCCCGTGTGTGGCTCCTCAGTGCTCAGTAAGTGTTAGAAATGATGAGGCGGCAGAGATGACGACTCAGAGAACAGGTGACGGAGAGCCAGCACTGAGATGGTTGGTGTGGCACTTTCTTCAACTGAAGGAAGCTGGAATGCCACTTCTGAGGAGGAAAAAACAGTAGTGACAGATACCAAAACTTAGCCCTGGGAATTATTAAATCATTGAACTTCAGGTCAGAGAGTGTCACAAGCCTCCGGGCAAGGAAAAGGAAACAAGCTTCCTTGGAGCATCTTCACGTGGCCAGGATCAGTGGCAGAGTCTGGGGACTTGAAGAAGGAGGGTGGTGTGATGTGCTCGTCCTTCCTCACATTGCTTTAATGTAACTGACTACTCTATAGATCGCTGAATTTTTACCTTTAAGCTGAGAGGGGAAAGAGGTAAATATTTAGGGCTTCCTTGGCTAACAGAGATTGCACAAGAATTTGTGCTTCAAAAGTTGGAGTTGGTAATTTGAATATTACTGTCCTGGGTGCCCAGTTACCAACTTTAGCAAGCCAGGTTTTCTAAAGATGGACAGTTACAATCTATAAAACAGCGGAGTAACCTCTGAGGGCTAGAAAGACTCCTTTGTTACAGATGCATTACACAGGAAATATACTTATGGTAACAACCAAAAAAAGATTGCTGTAATAAAATTTCCCACAAGTTCTCATTCTGGTCAAGAAGGAGATAGATATTTTTGTAAATGCCTTCTGTCTCTAATTGCCTATAAAAAGCTGTTTCTAAATGGCTTTATGGTTGATAATTTTGTCTCCTTTTGCATTTTCATCAATAGTGCCTTCCTTCCAACTTTATACCCATAATTGTTTTTAATAAACAGCCTCTAATTGGAAAAGCCACAATCTTATAGCCTTGCATGGGAATTTTGTTGTTAGCACAGAACAAGAAAAACCAGCTCTGATGGAACTAAAACTTAGACTGAAAAAGGAGACTGTAGAATTTTGACAAATAAGAAGCATGTGTTCTGCACCTACCAACCAAAAATTCTATACCCAGCCAAGTCCCCTTGGTTTGGAAAGGCAACAATAAAATAGTCACAAATATAGAAGGATTCCAGAAAAAACTAATCAATAAAGAGATGAAACAAAATGAAATCGCAAGGAAAATAGTGTTGGTGAGCTTTGAACTCTTAGTACATTTTAAAAGAGAACGGAACGGACCTGAGTGCTCACGCCACCAGTGCAGGAACGCTTCAGCACCGGGTCGTCTGTTACCGTGGCAGATTGCTAATCCCGCGTGCCCGTGAATCTGAGCTAGCAGAGATGAACAGTGTTCCCGAAGTTTGGACAATTCTAGAAAAGCAGAGGGAGAACTTGAGCTAATCCCAACATCTTGTTTGCCTTTCAGTTGGGGTCAAGGAATGGGATATATAATATGTGTTTGTGTATTTGCACTTCTGTACTTTAAAAGTGTTGCTCACGCCCAGCCGGGCGTGGCTTAGTGGTTGAGCTTTGACCTAGGATCCAGGCGATCGGGGTTCGATTCCCGGTCGGGGCACATGCCCGGTTGCGGGCTTGAGTAATGACTCTCTCATCATTGATGTTCCTATCTCTCTCTCTCCCTCTCCTTTCCTCTCTCTGAAATCAATAAAGATATATTAAAAAAAAAAAAATTAAAAGTGTTGCTCACAAAGACATATGAATCACCCTTCAGACCCATCACAACAGATGTTACTAGACTGTCATGGAATCTGGTGACCTGCAGTTGTTTGTAACATCAGAGAGCAGTTTCTCCTGTCCCCTCAGGAATGCCACACTGACAGAGTCGATGGTGGCATTTCCTAAATAGGTGATCAATCAAAACTTGTTTATACTCAAAGTATGGAACCTATACCAGCACCCCACCCAGACCTACTGAATCTTAATCTGCATTTTAAAGAGATCCTCAGATGATTTTGTATACACATTAAAGTGTGAGAAGCACTGTGGATGAAGCTCACTCCACAGTGAGTGTAAACCCTCGGATACTTAGCTTCCTATATAATTCATCATCATAATAGCGTAAAGGAGAGAAACCTTGTGTTCATTTCAGTGGCTAGTGCAAAGGCATTTGATAAAGTTCTAAATCCAGTCCTTAATTTTCTGTTAGGATTTGGTGAAGTTTTAGTTTATTTAAGGAGATTTGCATCTTTGCAATAATGAATTTTCCAGATCAGACACCAATGTATCTCTCCATTTATTAATCTGTCTTACACTATAGTATTAGAATTTTATTCTTTCATATTTCTTGTTAAGATTTCTCCACGTATGTAAATTTTTTGGCTATTTTGAATGTCATCTTTATTTTATTTTTGTCATATAGAAAATCTGTCAAGTTTATATATTCATTTTATAACTGAATATAGTCACCTTGCAGAACTCTAGTTTTAATAGTTTTTAAGTGCCTCTCTTGAATCATAACTACTTTTTACACTTCAGATTTTTTAAAGTTTTGTAATCTGTTAAGGAATAAATTTATATGTCCTTACCAACATAGAAAACTATAAGGCAGTAGGGACTTAAAAATAATTTGGGCTTAATTCTCACATCTGGGAAGACAGAATACAGGTACTTTCTCTCTTGCTCCAAGTACAGCTAAATGCCCCAGACATTATATCTAAATAAACATAACACTCTTAAGGTGGAGAGAAAAAAGACAGATTGGCTAGGGAAACTTAAGACCCAAGAATGACATCCAATGATAAGTGGCCTGGTTTTCTTTTAGCCTTAGATATCTCAGACTTACTGTTGAAGAGGCTGACAACTCAGAAATGCCAATCTGTACAGGGGGAAAAAACAAAGCAAAACTCCAACAAAAGCCTGCTGTCTGTAGCCAAAGGACCAGGAAAGGGACAGTCCAGCAAGAGAGAAAGCTTTCAGACAGTAACCACTCTAGCAAAACACCACAAACAAAGCAAAAAAAGCCCTGTGGTCCCACACCACTCATGCCAGCAAAGGCCAAGTAGGGAGCCTGGGCTCCACGTTGGTAGATTATGGCAAGGCACCCAGACACCTGCCGAGCCTGGATTTCCATGCCCACTGACAGTGTCACTCCTCGCCCTGCTGGGTTGTGATGAAAAAAGCATGGAGAGAGTCAGGACTCTGATCACCATCCGGTAGTCATGAGGACACGCACATATACACACACACTACCTCCTGGTGTCAGTTGCAGTCATGTGGGAAATAATAAGGGGGTACTCCTAACCTCCCAGCCAGGGTCTGATGGGTAGTTGGAGCTCCCCCCAACTCAGCAGCAATGAGGAACCCATCCATGCTCCTCGGGATCAGAAGTCAGATGAATAAACGAGACTTCTACCCCTACTTGCCAGTAATAAGGCAGCGTCCCAGCCCCTTCCCTTGCCCGGACATGTCAGGGAAAGCCACCTGAAACAGAAAGATTAAATAAAATCCAGAGTCTCATCCCTTACTATCCAAGTTATCCAAGTTTGAATCAGCAATCAACATCTTCAGTACCAAGCAAATCACAACTTTAAAAAGATAATGTCAACAGTCATGAGAAAGATGTTATAATTATCAGATAAAGATTTAAAGCAGCCACCATAAAATGTTATAATAAGCAATTACAAACACAAACTTCTGGAAACAAAAGACAAAAAAATCTTGAAAATGAGATAGAAATGATAGCTTATCTATAGGGGGAAGCAGTTCTCATGACCGACTTTGTGTAACCGCCTCTGGGGACCAGGAGGGGGAGTCACAGCGCTTCCCAAGTGCTGAAAGGAAAGAGCTGTGGACAGAGAGTGCTTTATCCAGCAACAAATCCTCTAGGAATGAAGGGGAATCAAAGTGTTCTCAGGTGACGAAAAACTACGAGGACATGTCACCGGCAGGCTATGAGAAAGGCTAAGGAAGTTCTCGAAACAAAAGAGGAAATGATAAGCGATGGGATTCTGGAACACCAGGAAGGAAAAACAGACAACCCAAAGACTAAAAATATGGGAAGTACATTTTCCTTTTCTAATTGAATTTTTTGTTATGTTTGACAGTTGAAGCAAAAATTATAGCAAAAATTATTGAATTTGATTCTAAATGTATGGGGAGGAGATATTTAAGACAAGTGTATGATAAATGGGCGAAAGGAAAGGTATGTGAAGGCAGGTAAGCTTTCCACACTGCTGGAGGTTGGTAGATAGAGATAGAGATATATAGATATAGATATAGATAAATGAGGCAGCAGCTTTCATGCATCAGTTTGGATATCATCAGGCTTTTATTTTACACCTGTTCAGTGGGACACTTGAGAAAGAGGTCTCTGTCATCTACTCTAGGCAACCTGATAGTAACGATCAATTTCAAAAACCAACTATTAGCCCAGTAATCCTCTATATATTACTTTATGGAAACATTTATAAAAAATACATCGTAATGTGTGTACAAAATTATTTACTGCAAAAATGATAACTTAATGCCTACCCACAGAGGGAGTAGTATTAAGTTATAGTAAATCTACACTACAGAATGCTGTGTGGTCATTAAAAAACAATGGGGAGGACCTGTGTTTTTTATATGAAATAATATCAATGCTATGTATAATTTAGAGGGAAAATAAAGCAAACCTTGATATAAGATCGGTTCCCATGTCAAAATTGAAGGGTACATAAACACATATACATATTTATGTGTTTAGATTTTTGTGTACAACAGTAGAGCATATATGTATGCATGAAAACTTGCGAATGCCTTTGGAGGATCACCGGATCGAAGTAAGGATAGGTACATGGGCACGTTTTACTTTGTGCCCTTTCTCTGTTGTATATCCTAATAAATCCCCTAGGCATTGAGTACAGATTGTTTGCATAGAAATATGTTAGTTTTATGTTTTCCCTTTTTTGTCAGCATGCTGTATCATAGTGTGTATGGTAAGCTACATTTCCCCCTTCTCTTAGCATATCTTGGAGAGTTTCCTATTTCTCAAGATACAGAACATTTCCAAGGCAGTGTATGCGTGTCTTCCCTTATCCTTGGTAACTGCTGCGGGACATCCCTCCGTATGAGTGCAGTCACAGTGTATCTAACTGTTCCTCTATTTGTAAACAATGTATCTAACTGTTCCTCTATTTGTAAACAGTGTATCTAACTTCTTCTCTTTGTAAACACTCTGCTCTGTACATGTATGTGTTTTTACAAGTAATGCAACAAAAATTCATACAGTTTTTCTACACAGCTGGTTGTATTTCCTTGGGCTAGATATATTGAAAACTAGAAACACTAGGTAAAAGGCTAACTTTAAATTTATATTGCTCAGTTCTCTCCGTGCCGGTGTGGGCCACAGTGGCTCACTTGTTGGAGTCAAGATGATACTTATGTTAGTCATTATTTCGAAGCATCTATGTTGTTACCAAAAAATACCCGCACCCAGTTAATCTATTTACATGTTCTGGGGCAACCCTGTTTTATTATGCTTGTCACCCAGGGCCGTGGTAAAGTGAAGCTTTTGGATGGGAAACTGGGCTTCCCAAGCTAGAGACAAGCCTCAGCTGTGAGCTGGTGCTGTGCACCCCAGGAATAGCGTCCAGATGAGATCCGGTATGGGGTGTCCCTGACAGCATTCCAACTCTGTCTGGAGATACCCTCTGTTCTCGCGCTTTCTGAAATAAACTGGAAAACTGTTGTACATCATTAATTCTGTAGCTCGCTGTTTTCCACAGGCTTTTTGGAAGGGACATAAACAACGGATGTTATATACCAGCAGGCGGCAAACATTCAATGACCATATTCCCTCCATTGTGAAGGTAAACATCCTTTCCCACCTTATCAAGTACTTGACTTACACTTGTCCCATTGTTTAGTTTTGCTTGTGGAAGGCAGACTATGGAAAGAGTAAGTATGAGCCTTGAAGTCAGGAGCAAGTCCTGGGTTTGAGTCCCACTCCACTACTCACTTAGCTGATCATCCATAAGCAAGTCCACTACACTGTAACTGGCTCGGTCCTTTATGTGGGTTTGAGAATCATATGTGAAATGCTTTGTAACCAGCAAATGCTCTTTCTCTAGAAAGTCCAAATTGATTATTTAAAGTCTGGCAGAAACCTAACTTTATTTCATGCTTCTCTTATATTTGCTAATAATATTTAGAATGCTCCAACTTAACAATACAGAACCTTCATAGGAAGGCAAATGCAAAAGTTAGGATCTGATTTTGGGTGGTGAGCCCGTCCCACCCAGCTTTCCACCAGGTGATTGCTCTGACCTCAGAGAAAGAAAAGGCACTGTGATGACCACTCTCTCAGATCTGGAAACCCGAGGACTGTGCACAAGTGAACCTATAGACAATTTGGAAATCGTGATGAAAGTCAGAATAGTGGGGCTGGAGAGACTGGGATCAGATGAGATTAGCTTACAAGACCTTCCAAGCTTTGAAGACAGTGACATTTTCTAGATCCATGGTGCATTAGCTCTTCAATGTTGTCCTGCGCTCACCATGGGACACAGGCCTGTTCTGTCAGAAAACTCTTGTTCACAGTTGGTCCCTCATGAGACCTTCTGTAAAGACCGTAAGTATGTTGGATACATTTAAGAAATGTTGGACTTTAATTTAATTCCCTGACCCATTGCAACTTTCAGCAAAATGCCTTGCCCTCCCGGCTTTCACTTATGGGGATTAAAGCAAAATAACACAAAGTTACATTACCTGCGCCGCCATAAAGTGTAACGTGTTTTGAACCCTTAAGAGAAAAAGCAGTGAAAGTAGGAGGTGAAGATCAGGCTTTAGATGTTTATTACTTGGCAGGCTGTGAATTTTTACCTTTTTATCAAATAAAATAGNATTTTTACCTTTTTATCAAATATCAATACTGTTTTTAGAAAGGCTGCATAAAAAGATATTAAAGTTGTTTGGTAATTGCCTTGGTTTCTCTATTTAACTTATTTTTAGATTCAGTCATGGTTCCGGATGATCACAGCTCGGAGGAACCACCTTTCACGGCTGCAGTATTTCAGAGACCATGTAAGAGATGTGCACGGGGATTTTATCCTGGCTGAGAACGAACTAAACGAATGCTTTGTTGAAAGTTACCCTTGAATGATTTCTATTAAATGGTAGAAATGAATACTAGGAGAAAAAACTAGGTTTTCGAACACAGTGTGATAATTACAGTTTTTATTCAGAACTCGTGTTCAGAGTGAGCCTCGACCCATCAGGACTGGCTAGGAAAAATGGGTGAGAGCAAACTGATGCAGGCTAGTCATGCTGAAGAGAAAAGATCCTAAAGGAGTATTTTCCACCGTTATTTGTACAGTTTTTCTAACTGGTAACTGAGAAATTTAAATAGAGCCCACAGGGGGAATTTGTTCGGGACCTTTAAAGAAAAGAAATGTAAGCATGGATTGGATAATCCAACTTTGGTGGTAAAATTCTTTTCTCTTTTTAGATCTCTTTATTTAAACAGCCCCTGTACAATCTTGTTTATACTTTTAGCTAACTTATCTGACCCTATCTTTTAAAAAAAAAAAAGGAAAAATAAACATTGAATCCAGCACATCAGAATGCTGTCATTTCTAAGCAGTGTCCATCATCAAATACTGTCAGTTCTTAACTAGTTCTGAATTCTAAAGTAGTGGAGTAGATGGGACTCTGGAAGGTCATGACCAGTCTCATTTCTTTTGCAGAAAAATGAAATCGTGAAAATACAGTCACTATTGAGAGCAAGCAAAGCTAGAGATGACTACAAAACATTGGGTAAGTGGGAATGTTCAGACACAAAGTATGAATCCTGTGTAAACCAGGCGAGGACAAGTTATTTCCAACTTAGTCACTGCAGAGACTGCTCAAGGACACAGTGCCCATTGTGTCCAGTAGATTTGGGTCACCTCCAGCCCCAGACTCTGAACTGGTACACAAGGGAACATGGGGTGACAGAAAAAGGGGTTTCCTGTTGTAAGTGGAAAGGGTAAGTGGAGTGGATTAAACTTCTTCAAAAAGAATGGGTTTGGCATAAGTGCTGATCTTTTTATATTAAATTTGAGCTAGAATCCAGAATACAATGCAGAAGAGTTAGCCAGAAGGTAAGCTTACGTCAACTGTTTAGCACTTTTCCACCTGGAATTCGTGAGCTTCCTCTCTCAGATGGTAGGTGTCTGCCTGCAAGCGTTTTTATGAGACGTCTGCGTAGAGGGTTTGTCTGCTGAGGCCTTACACACTGCCACAGGCTCGCTCTTGCCTCTGCACAAGAAAGACGATTTAAGAATAAATCCTGCCCCAGCCGGTTTGGCTCAGAGTGCCGGCCGGGACGGAAGGGCCCGGGTTCAGCGCCGGCCAAGGGCCGTGCCTCGGTTGCAGGCTCCATCCCAGGCCTGCCTGGTCAGGGCGTGTGTGGGAGGCAGCCCGTCGATGTTTCTCTCTCTCTCTCTCTCTCACATCGATGTTTCTCCCTCTCCCCCCTTCCATGCTCTCAGAAAAAGCCATGGAAGAAATATCCTCAGGTGAGGAATAAATAAAGAATAAAAAAAGGAATCAGTTCTCCAAGCGAACACAGGTTGGTCTCCCTTTCATTAGGTAGCGTGTGTTCCTGGGTGTTTGTGGTGATGCTTTCCATTTACTTACATTTTCTTTAATTACGAAGACAAAAGTAATTCCAATGTAAACATCGAGGCGATTTTATGTGAATGTGTAGCAGGTGGGCAGAAACCGTTAGTGAATAAGTACATCTGAGCTTCTCTGGACCTTGGCAAATAGGGTGGTTTTATGGAAACTGAAAGGCAAATTGTCGTTTCTTTCTCAATTATCTTAAAAAACACTAAGTCCTTTTTTTTTAATCTGAAAAAGATCACTTTTTTTTTTAATATATATGTCCTTATTGATTTCAGGGAGAGGGAGAGAGAGATAGAAACATCAATGGTGAGAGAGTCATTGACCGGCTGCCTCCTGCACGCCCCCGACCGGGGATCGAGCCGCAACCCGGGCATGTGCCCTGACCGGGAACCGAACCTCGATCTCCTGGGTCCTAGGTCGATGCTCAACCGCTGAGCCACCCCAGCCGGGCAAGATCACTGTTCTTTGCCGTCGTTTGTCTTCACCCATCCCCCCTGGAAGGGCCCTGGATGCATTTAAGCTTGGAAATTGCTAGAACTACAGTGAGGCCACTTGTACGTGCTGACTGTGAAAAGCGTATGATTTTCTAAAACTAAGATACCACAGGGTGGTATAAAGATGCCAAAAAAGCCTCTTGTTGATAGGAGAAATATTTTGCTTGAACCAAAATAATGAGTAAACTAAAATATTTGTTTCTTACTGGCCTATTAGAACATAAAAAGAGACGTGGTCCTTAGGAGCAGGGAGAGGAAACTTGAGGCATGAATGAGGTGGCCCACGTTCTCTCAGTTTCTCCATGCAAATGCGCTCTGGTGCATCGCTCAGGCTGTTTCTAAAATGGTCGTGCATGTCGTCAGCAGCATCTTTGGTAGAAATAAGAGGAAAAGAAATTCACATCTGCTTCAGTCATCAGGAAACAAAGAGTCTCATGATCCGAGGTCACTTCTCCAAAAAAGACCATCGGATATGGCAAAGTAGTAATCCAGATGTCGCCACAACGGGGCTGGGCTCGTTCGAGTCATGCTTGCATCGCTGTGGCTCATCACTGGTCATTGAGGGCCCAGAGTGTATTCTCACAGTTCACCCAGAATAGATCGCACCAAACACCTTAAAAAATAGACTTTTCCAAAAGTCAGTGCCGGGGAATGAAAGCGTAATACTGTTGAAGGCATGAAGGAAAACCCCTTTAGGATTTATACCGATGCCTCTCCCAGGCTCTGCAGGAAGAACAGGGACCAAGTTTCAACTGTGAAAATCTTGTTTGTGCCGAGGGGGCATGTGTTCCGCTTGCCATCCTGTTGGCTCCTCGTTGGCCTCACGGTTAGTTTTCTCTTCATCAGCCTCTTCTGACTCACCTGTCACCTGGCTCTGCCGCTTCCCAGAGGTCTTTTGGGCTGAGAGAAGCCGCTTTCCGCTTCCTGCGCAAGAGCGCAAGTCTCTTATGGCTCAGCCACAGGCTCTCAGAGCCGAGGTAACATAAACGTTAGCGTTCTTCCCCAGATTCCTCATTAGTAAGACGCCGTCTTCTCAGGGCGCGAGTCCTGGAAACCGGGTGAGAAAGGATGAGAAATGATTGTTCGATAACTAGAAAATAGTGAGGCCAGACATTATCAGTGGTTTGCATTTATTTACAGGATCAGTTTTCTTGTCCAGGTTTTACATGGGACAGAACAATTCATTCCAAAGACCAAGTACTTCCCTTGCTATATTTTTCTGGTAATGCTTTATTGAAAGACCTGGTTTCTTTCCTATTGGTAATAATTCCAAGCATGCCTAATTAAAACATGCCTTTCCTTTCCCTGCAGTTGGCTCTGAAAACCCACCATTGTCAGTAATCCGCAAATTTGTGTACCTGTTGGACCAAAGTGACTTGGATTTCCAGGAGGAGCTGGCCGTCGCACAGTTAAGAGGAGAAGTGGTGACCAAGATCAGGGGCAATCAACAGCTGGAGAAGGACCTGAACCTGATGGACATCAAGATTGGGCTCCTGGTGAAGAACAGGATCACACTCGAGGTCTGTCGGGGTGTGGGACTGTTGGCTCCCAGAAGAGGGAAGATGCATATGTAGTTGTCCACAGCACTTTGGTCCGGATAAGCTCATTTGGAATCCAGAATGCGTAGTTCAAAGTTCATTTGCCATTTTCATAACAAGACAAAGGCCTTTATATAAATATAAAAGAGAAATAAAAAGAAAGTAATTTACAATTAAAACTCATATTTCAAAATGAAAACACACAGGCCCGGTGCCATTAGAAGATGTGATAAAGTTGCTGGAGGCTGGGGCCTCTTCCCAGAACAACCACAGAATGAGAGAGCTGCACATGAGACTCACGCAGGAGGTGGTAGAGCTGTCAGGCTTTCGTTTTCCAAAATGGACATCAACTCTTTGTAACATTCAGAACAGGCAGAGCGTGGTCCCCTCACCCCTGTTTATGCAGAATTGTGCTCCTAGAAAATTAAGTATATATTAAAATTGTGGAGGGTATGTATTGTGCTTATATGTAAAACAGATTCTAGACTCAAGTAATTACACAAAGCATTTTTACGTATATGAATGACTGGCCAGCAGGACATTCAAACTCCCACCATACAGGATGTGGGACAGTCATTTACGCAGGACAGCAGAGCATCTGTGATTCCCTCCCCCACACCCTCTAGAAGCATAATATAATTCAGAAGGCCTGTCAGAAGGTGCTTTCGATAGCCTTAAGCTGCTGGTTTACCCAATTCCCATAAAGCTGTAAACAGGAAGTACCTTGTCTTTCCAAGTAAAGGCTTAATTAGAAAACAGAAAATAGTAGAAATAATATGTGGCTTGTGGAAATACAATCATGGCAGATTTTCAGATATTCATGAATGTTTAAGGTTTTTTTTTTAAGTATTCCTAATTGATAAAGTTAATTTTTCAGCTTACGTTTTTAAACACTAAGTATTTATCAAACTCTTACTGGATGTTGAACTAATGATTATTAAATATGTAGTCATTAGCTTTATCACTGTTCTAGCATTTTTAGTGTGATGATATTCAGAATAGTGCAGTTGAAGCTTTATTATAGTGGTGAAACAATGGGGGGAAACATCCTAACACAGACAATAAACAAAGGACAGTAGAATTAGTTTAACATGTATGTTATGCGTACATGTTTTTGAAGAACATTTAAGGGCAGGGGAAACAGTTTGCCATGTAATGGGAGGAAAAATAGTACCTAAAACAGTACAATTTCATTTATTGTAATAAATATATATTAAGAAAAGCTAGAAGAACAAAAGTTAAGTGATTTTTCTTTGGATGGTAGAACTAAAGCTTCTTTATTTTTTTTTTTTTTTTTTTTTACACTGAGCATGTGTTCAGTGAGAAGAAAGGTTTTAAAGGGAAGTAGATTAGTTCTTATAGAGCAACTCTAGCTCTCTCTAGTAACCATGTATCTTACAATTCCTTAAAAATTTGCATTCCTCCTAGAAACCAGAAAGTCAGTGATGTTTGGTATTATCATAAAATGGTGTAACTGTCTAATTCTAGAACATTTTTATCACCCCACAACAAAACCCCAGAGAAACTGCTCTGGAACTAGATAGCTGCGATGGTTGCACAACCTTGTGAATGCACTGAACACCCCTGAGTTACACTTGGAAAGGGTGAGTTTATGAAGTATGCGAATAACATTTCAATTCACAGAACCAAAGAAAGAATAGCTGCACTCACTGGCACTCACTGCCTGCTCCTCCCCAGCCGCCGTCGACCTGCTCTCTGTATACATTTGCCTGTTGTGGATATTTCGTACTAGTGGAAGCACATAGTGTGTGTCCGCTGCGACCAGCTCTTTGACTCAGCAGAGTGTTTCTGAAGCCCGCCTGCGTTGTAGCCTGAGTCAGCACGTCATTCCCCGTTTTGATGAACGCCATTCCATTGTATGGAGAGTCCACATTTTGCTTGTCCATGTATCACCTGATGGATATTTCAGTTGTTTCCTCTTCTTGACTATTGTGAATAATTCTGACATGAGTATTCACGTACACGTTTTTCTGCGGACATATGTTTCAGTTCTCTTGGGCATATACCAGCAGTCTTTAACCTTTTTCATCTCACAGCATACATAAAATAATTCCTAAAAGTCTGCGGCACACCAAAAAATATATATTTTTGCCGATCTGCCCCCCCCCCCGAAAAAGGGTATCATTTGGATTCATTCACACCAGAACAGCTATCGTGTTGTCTAGTGTCACTTTTTTATTTTATTTGACAATCTAAGAGAAAAGAGGTCAGTACCCCTGGCTAAATAGTCAGTTATTGTGTCTTTTAAAAATTCTTGTGGCACACCGGTTGAAAATCGCTGGTACATACCTGAAGAGTGGAATTCGTGGGTCATGGAATAACTCTGTGTTTAACCTTTGAGGAACTGCCAAGTGTCTGTACCATTTTACATTTTTACCAGCAAGGCATAAAGTTTCTAGCGTATCAACGTACGCACCGACATTTGTCACTATCTTTTCCGTTACCACCATCCTAATTAGTATGAAGTGGCATCACTGTAGTATTGGTTTGCAGTCCCCTCCCCTGATAACCATTAATATTGAGCTTCCCTTCATGTGTAGATCTTGTGTGTGAAAATGTCCGTTCACATCTTTTGCCCACTTTTGCTCGAGTTATTGGTCTTTTTATTTTCGAGATGTGGAAATTCTTTATATATTGTGGATCAAGTCCCTCGTTCAATATATGATTTGCAAATATTTCCTCCCATTCTGTGGGTTGTCCTTTTGCTTTATTGATAGTGTCCTTTGAAGCACAAAGATTTTTGTTTTTATGAAGTCCAATTTATTTTTTTTTCTTTTGCCATTACCTCATCCAGAGTCATAAGGATTTATACCTAGGTTTTCTCCCAACAGTTTTATAGTTTTAACTCTTACATTTAGTTACTTGATCTCCTTTGAGTTAGTTTTTGCTTATGGTGTGAGTTAGGGGTCTGACTGCTTCCTTTTGAACATGGCCATCCAGTTGTCCCAGCATCATTTGTTGAAAAGACAGTTTTTTCGTCATTGAATTGTCTTGGTGACTGCATTACAACTTAAGTGAAGCTTTGTAGAATAAATGTTACAAAAGCCAGATTCACCCCCAAGCTGGATTTCCTTAATTTGTTTTAACATTCTCTATTCCTTTGTTTCCTCATGAAGGAAAAGTGGAAAATTAATCTTTTCAACTGTGTGCCTCACGGTGTCTGTGACGGGAGGAGGTAGAGAGTACCAGACTAAAAGGTAGTAATTTAATAAAAATTTCTTCCAGGATGTGATTTCACACAGAACGAAGCTGAATAAGAAAAAAGGTGGAGAAATGCAAGTGCTGAATAACACTGACAACCAGGGCATCAAAAGTTTGAGTAAGGAGAGGAGAAAAACACTAGAAACATATCAGCAGCTGTTTTATCTTTTACAGGTGAGAACAAACTCTTTCACTGTGAGTTCTGGGTAAATACCATGTCCCATATTTGTGGTTTACAGTGGATCCTCCCCCATGCTGAAACTAATAGCTTACATGTTCTGAGCATCTGAGTACGAAGTACTTTTCTAGGTTCTTTATGTACATTATCTCATTTCATTCTTACGCAACCCTGCAAACCGTCAGAAAGGAATTGTTATTGTTAGTCCCNAGAAATGCAAGTGCTGAATAACACTGACAACCAGGGCATCAAAAGTTTGAGTAAGGAGAGGAGAAAAACACTAGAAACATATCAGCAGCTGTTTTATCTTTTACAGGTGAGAACAAACTCTTTCACTGTGAGTTCTGGGTAAATACCATGTCCCATATTTGTGGTTTACAGTGGATCCTCCCCCATGCTGAAACTAATAGCTTACATGTTCTGAGCATCTGAGTACGAAGTACTTTTCTAGGTTCTTTATGTACATTATCTCATTTCATTCTTACGCAACCCTGCAAACCGTCAGAAAGGAATTGTTATTATTAGTCCCATATTACACATCAGAAAACTGAGACACGGCCAGTAAAACCAAGGGTATAGGGACCCAAGTAGTTTGATTTCAGAGCCAGTTATCTTCATGACTGTGTTTATTATACTTTAGTTATCTACAGAAATGGAATAAATCTAATAATAACATAAATAGATGCTGTTAACCATGGAAAAATTAAAGTAACTGTGAAAAACAGTTGTTTACCAAAATCAACCTGCCCTTTGTTTGAGGAAAGAGCAAGAGAGTTTGGATTAGGGAAATAGAATATTGTTTTATTTTGTTATTTTCATGGCATTCCTATGATCTAAGTGAACAGTAATTTTCCTCTGCTTCCAGAATGTGCGTGAGAACTGATAAGCTGAACTGGTTATGGTTGGACTCTGGTGGGCCAGTTACCGTTTTGTTTGACCATTGATTCAGCTTATCTGCCCGACCACAAGGTCCTAAAGGAAACCGAGTAAGCTATAGTGATAGATACAAACAAAGTCTGCCCTTCAGCAGGAAGACTTTCCCACGAGACGTGCATCAGCGGTGCTTCCGGGAGAGTCAGGCGCCCCTCGGTGTGGGGCAGCAGCTGTCGGTGGTCATGCCTGCATCCATGTGCGACGATGCCATTGACATTAGGTGTACAGAGAACATGTGAGCCGAACCAGAATGAGGGGTGGCTTGGCCCGTGGAGAGAAGCGATGTTAATTTTGGTAGAGCTGAGAATTCTGTCTTTGGAACAATAGATTGGAAAAGAGGTGCAGTGCCGCAGAGGGCCACGGTGGGGCGGCGTTGAAGGAAAGAAGCCACGGCTTAATAGCAGCAGCCTTTCCAGAAAGAGGGGGCTCACACTAGGCAGAGAAGGCGTTTTGGCTGTCTAAATTAGGTCAGTAGTTATCCACCAGTTGGAAATTTAATCTTAGACATTTATCATAAGTGCATAAGGCTGCTTTGATCTAATCTGTGTCACAAGGAGAGTGAAAATGTAGTCATTGGCCTAAGACTTTACTGTTTACCGTGTTACATAAGTGGAGGCTCTTGAATGGATGGGAGAAAAGACACAGGAGAATGTTTAGGATAATTCTACCAAGTTTTATTCCCCCAAATCCAATACTGATAGTCCCAGGACACGTCCATTTGGTTGTACCAACTCAAGTGTCCCTTCTAATTGTGTCTTTTCCTTCACCTTTTCTTTCTCTCCACTGGAGACAATAACTAGGACCAAGAAGAAACTGCAGGGTAGCAAATTATCCGGATTCCTTTGGCCTGTGGGTTATCTCTGGGCAAGAATTCTTAGCCACGGTGGCCAGTCAGCTAGTATAGCTTTTGCTTTGGGTTTGTCTCTACAGTATGAGCCTAAATTTAAAGTTCTTGGGGCATCTGAGAGCAATGAGTAGTGGACTCCTTTAGCTTTAGAGTATCTTTCCTTTCTCATAATCTCATGTGCTGTGTGTGGGAAAAGAATCACTACAGAGCTATAAACAGTTGTCCTGAGCTGCTTGTTCATAAAATGTCAGCCAATCATCATAAGCTTGAAAGTAACTCTAAGTAGTAAAGTAAACTAGAATTTGGATTTTCTTAAAAACACTAAAGCCAAGTTGCTTGAATAGAGTTGTCCCTTGGTATCCACGGGGGGTTGGTTCCAGGACCCCCGGGGACATGGAAATTCACGATGCTCAGGTCCCTTATGTGAAATGGGGTCATATTTGCGTATATAACTTACACAGTTCCTCCCGTATACTTTAAATCATCTGTAAATTACTTATAATACCTGGTACGAAGTAAATAGCTGTTACACGATAGTATTTAGGCAACAAAGACAAGGAAAACAGGCTGTACATGTCCAGAATAGACCCAGCCATCGTGGACCTAACTACTGTATGTAGCACACATCAGAAGCTAAGTAACTTTTTCCCCCGAATGTTTTGAATCTGCAGTTGGCTGAATCCACGGATGTGGAGGGCCGACTGTCTATTAGATGGAAAATTTCCTTTCCTCGTCAGAAGGAAGATGACAAGTAGTATTCCTCTGTAACCTAAACACTACATTTTCTCTGCTAACTTCCATCTGGTTGGTGGATCTACTAGAGAAAAACCGTGTTACTGGGGCTGCATCGTGGACTCCATCCTCAGCTGAGCCCTCAGGGCTTCATTTCAGTGTTTTTAAAATTCTTGTCAATTTTTAAGTTGTCTTTTTTTCTCCTTGTCAGTTTCTTCTGACATTTCCTGCATCGACTGTCCTGACCTTCACCTCTCTCTAGCCTCCCTACGCACTCCTTGTAAAGCATTATGGCCACCCCACTGTCTTCACATGGAAACATACCCTTTTTTTTAAGTCTCAGAACATGGGATGTTTCCTTCAATTTATTAATCACTTCTTCCAGGACAGTCTGTTTAGCTGGGGTTCGTGCTTTCCAGTCTCTTCAGATGCCAGATTCTCTTGGCCACTCACCTCTCTTCTGTGTCTCAAAAATAAACAATATGTGGCTCAAAATGGTTAACAGTGTAAAGTATATATAATTATGTTTCATTAAGTATATCCCATAGTATATAAAGTCTAAATTCTATCGTAACTTTCTACTCTAACTTCCTATAGTGTTACTGTAATTACTATGAAGATTAGCTGATACCGTTTAAAGTCTTATTTTGTGCCAGGTAGTCTTCTGTTGGCTGTGTGCATATTAAGTCGTTGACGGGGAATCGGGTGCTCTTCCTTGATTTAATAATATATTAACATACAGTTTGGGGGCTTTCTTTTCCATCTCCCCTCTTTTGTTTTAGACCAATCCTTCGTACCTGGCTAAGCTGATTTTCCAGATGCCACAGAACAAGTCCACTAAGTTTATGGACACTGTTATTTTCACACTGTACAATTACGCTTCCAACCAGCGGGAAGAGTACCTACTCCTCAAGCTTTTCAAGACCGCCCTGGAGGAAGAGGTCAAGTACGTGTGTCAGTATCTAGGTAACGGTGCCGCCGGGCAGGCCTCCGTTTCTGCTGCCTGCCGCGGACTCACTCAGCTGGTTTCAGATGGTTCTTATAACCTGCGTATACCTCTGAGAATACATCAGACTTGTTGAGGAATTTTTGCAGCATTATAGGTATACTCAGGTACAACTTCCCCAACCAGGGGTATCTTTTCTAACGCCATAGTAACTTTCGGCTTTGCACCTAAAACAACCACCGAAAGTCAAAAGCTTTTTGAAAGTCAGTAAGGAAATTTAACATAATTAAAATTCTGTGAGTAATAAAGCCATAAATGAATAAAGATAAGGCTCCCTACTAAATAGTCATCCCTTCTTCCTGGAACTTAAGCTTAGTTTTGCTAATTTGTTTTCTGACTCAGTTAATGTAAAAAAAAGAAAAATGTATAGGTAGCTATAATGAATGGGGCGGG